CTCTCTCTTTCTCTCTCTCTCTCTCTCTCTCTCATCTCTCTCTCTCTCTCTCTCTCTCTCTCTCTCTCCTCTCTCCTCTCTCTCTCTCTCTCTCTCTCTCTCTCTCTCTCTCTCTCATCACTCACTCACACACCACAAGTGAGAATATAAAAAACAAAATAATAACTTGTTCTCACGCAACACATGTCAACTGTACACACATGTCATTTCCTGGACCTATACCAAAGTGTGAATGTAGGCCTCCTGCAACAACCTACATTGTAACAGAAAATGTCCTATTGGGAATTCAGTTCCACAATAATAATGAAGCGTCCAGGAGCAGATGAGCCTAAGGGCTAATAGCTCATCTTCAGTCTGCTGATGTTTGCTATTGCCATTTCTGTGGTGGCAAAGTAAAAAAGAAAAGAAAAAAGACAACAATTAAGGACAAGTGTGTGCTTTTTCAGCTTTTGACCTCGGTCACAGCCTTCTCTCCATTCTTTGTGCAAATGCCTTCTTCCTGAGTCACTTCTCTCCTCCATCACAGCGTTGTGACTGCATCACTTTTGTGTTGCTTGCGGAGCCTGCGCTTGTGCTCGGTTGATGACTGTCCTCCTCCTAATTCACTTGTTCACTTTCGCTGGTAATATTCTTCTCGCGTCGTCATTAGCAACGCCAGAAATATATTTAAAAAAAGGTTTTCGTTTCTAAATCTAAAACAACAATAGCCTATTAGAACTTATTTAAACCACAGTTTCAATTATCTCAAGCTTATTTTCATTCGTTGTAGTATTTTGATAGTATGATTTATTTTTCAATTAACGTTATTCAATCACGCCTCAAACTGATGGCACTCGTCCCTATAGCCTGAGGTCCTTACCACCAGCTGCTCGTGCAGTAATAAGTAGTGCACCTTACTGTCCCAAATGTGCACAATGTAGTGACTGCTTTTCGTCTTTTTGTTTACTTGGTTGTGTTTTCTGTATTTTATATGTCTGTGTTATGTGTAACAGAAAAAAAAATGATATGTCAGATTCCTCCGCGTACCACAGGTTGAGAACCACTGGTTTAGAGCATGACACAGCTGCTCCTGTTTTTCTGATAGAAGTGAGTGCTTGAAATGACGGAGGGGAGATGACAAGTGATCTTCTTGGAAATAGTTCATCCCTCAGACTTCCCTCCCTCAGGCTTTGTAGGGAGTATCTCTCCCTGATTTAAACTTCCATTGAGTCATCGTCCCCACAGGATTGCATGACATTTTCTCCCCCATGTACCCTTAGATTTTGAAATTGTTTTCCACTCCAGAAAAGCACACAAGTGACCCACGATCATCACTGACTAACCTTTCATGCATTGTAAAGTTTTAAGGGCAAAAACATGCCTGTTAGGTCCAGCTTGCTGGTGGCATTATTTTTCACTTTTGCATCTTCTAATTTGTATTGAACTTTCTCTCAAAAGGTTAGAGAGGGACTGAGAGTATTTGATTCTCTTTCTGCCCTTTCAGTTTTCCATGGTTAAACCATAGTGTTGTGATTTGTTCTCACTGTACGAAACATTGTTTTAATGTTTCAACAAACCTTCCTTACAAATTGGCATTTCTTTTTAAGAACTTTCGACAACCCAAATACATAAAATACCATTTAAAGGCAAAGAGCAATCCTCTCAGTCATCGGAACAAGCTTTAGCAGCAAGAGATTGTACATTTTTAAACACCTATGTTTTTATCTTGAATAGTAGATATACCATGCCTTCATTTTGCAGTGCAAGATTATCGGATTTGCACAAGTTATCTATACAGTATTGTTATGTTTACAGTGCATTGTATAATAATTTTAATGCAATTTCTTAAATAATCTAATTTATTTTTCATGTCATTGATTGATTTAAAAAAAAAAAAAAAATCTCTTATCCGAGTTGTCCTGAAAATGAAGTATGTCTCACCTTCCCTTGTTGTGTTCTGTTATCCCGTCTCTATCTAGGGTGATCAATGCAGGAAAGAGTGCGTTGAATGAGGACCAGGCCTGCTGCGAGGTGCTGGTGGTCAAACGGAGACCCTCAGGATGCTCCACACCCAACCGGACCTCCCTGGCCCGCAGGAGGTCTTCCCTGCCAAACGGAGAGGGTCTGAGCCCCCGGGACTGCAATGTGAGTCGAACTAAAGCGTCTGTTTCCAAATAACAAATATCCTCCTTTCCATCATCTTTCACTGGGATTTTTATTCAGCAGACACATTTTTGTTTTACTTTTATGCATGCACCACGACATCAAGTCAAATTCCTCGTACGTGTCACGTAATAACCCTGTTTCTGATTTCTGATTTTAACATAACAGGAATTCATGAGATAAAACTTGAGGACAAATGCAACTTTTCTGAGCCATCTTTTTGATATCTTGTTAATACTGTACATAGACTAAGATCCTTGACGTTCAAGCATTTGTTCACCCATGACATCCAGGTAATGGTGGCTGTAGTCCTTGCTGTTGGGACGCAGTGTTCCCTCATCCCGTCCCATCAGCAGTTTATTGGTGCGTACAGCACAGCGTCCTTTACACATCACAGCCTCGGCCTTCAGCTCTCAACAGCCAGGTGAAAGCAAGTAAAGCTTTTAAGTTAGACCAAAAACCATATATACAAAGGTATTGTGAATTCTAAACTAGCACTGTTTTTGACGCACTCTATCCAGCTACTGACAATGGCTACTCTGTAAATTTTCTGATACTAACCTGAAAAAGCGTAGAAATAACTGGACACTGATCTCCTGTTGTTCGATTTGTCTTCCGGGTTCGACATGCACTCAGAGATTTCTGTTTTCCCTCACTGCCCTTTATCTCTAACCGGTTATACTGAGCACTTTGTCATTTCATTTTCCACGGGCAAAATATATCTATATTCAGTGGCGACTGGTCATTAGGGGCAGGCACAGCCCCACCTAGTGTCAGCAGAAAGTATTACAAATAATTATTACAAAAAAATGCAAAAAAAATATATAAAATATATTTTAAGATCATGTTTAATCATCTGATTCGTCTCATTGCTGTTTTAGTCAGTGTTCTTCTAATTAGTGTCTACAGTGTGTGCCTATTGAGCTGTTTAGAGCCATGTGGGACAAAACCCGATCATGCCCCTCCCTCTCACTGTCTAAGTCAATGGTGACTGTAAAACTACACTGCGCATGTTCAGAGTATTTTCCTATTTAATGTGTGTGGCAAAAAAATAATAACCATAGTGGCATTGAGCTGCCATCCCCACCATACGTCATCTCACATCATTCAGAGCTGATTAGCTGTAAGTACGTGTGCCGCGAAAAGTGTGGTGTGTGAAGAGGAGACGAGAGAGCTGCAGTGAGGCGTCCTAAACCCGGAAGTAAGCTGCGCATGCCTTCCCTCGACAAAAAAGCAATGAGATTTCTCCATAGGATTTTAGAAAATAGCTCCAAATAAGATCTGTGGGAAACAAACCTGTTAGATAAATGCACGTTTTGTTCAGCCGGATAATATCCACATGTCTACCCTACTTTTATAATTTTCTAATCATAAATCTATCGATTAGATTAGATTTATGATAGACTTTTGAAACTACAAGAAGAACTACAAAAACGTAATAGAGATTTTTGTCCAGAAGGATAGCATGGACTTCATCTTCATGTCAAGGTAAGACCGCAATTTTATTGAAAATGGGATCTTACTAAGAGAGAACAATTCAATATGTAAATTATAAAATTACATTTTTTGGGTATCCTTTTGTTGAACGGTCTGTTTAAAATTAATCGAAGCATCAGACAAAAAAAGCTTTTGAAAATATTATTATATTTTGATTTAAGTCAAAATATAATATTTGTAAACCTGAAGAGTCAGTGCCAGTGCCTCACCAGCCATGAACCTCACTGCAGAAGCTTATATATAGACATCTACGTTTTTTGTGCCCTACCACTTTTGTACATATAAAAACGCCACTGTCTATATTAGGTAATACTGCAGATAACATGTCCCCTTAGCCCACCAGTACTTTACTTAGACCCAGCCAGAGCCTACAGCAAACTCATGCAAGTACCTCATGACTCACTACTGCAGAGGTACTGGACTATAACAAGTCAAGCCTTTCTAGTGCTATTTGCTTGCTTCATCGGCTCATGTTGTAGCATCTGCTTGCACTACTGTATTTAGAAATAATAATAATACATGAGACTTGTATAGCCTTTCTCAAGAAACTCAAAGACGCTTTGACGGAGAATTAAAAAAAACAACAAAAAACAAAACAAAGAAAAATACAAAAGAGATAAACAGAAAATAGGGGGGGGGATGGTAGTGGCTGAATGCAGTGTTGAACAGGTGGGTTTTGAATGTGGTGGGAGGAAGAATCTCTGATGGATTGGGGTAGTGAGTTCCAGAGGGTGGGTGCAGCAACGGAGAAGGCTCTGTCGCCCCAGGACTTGAGGTTGGTCCGGGTGGGGGGGGGAGGTTGGCAGGAGCAGAGTGGAGGGAGCGAGTGGGAGTGTGTCTGTGGAGGAGGTCAGTCAGGTAGGATGGGGTCAGGTTATGGAGGGCTTGGTATGTCATCAGGAGGATTTTTGACCAAACCCTGGCTCTGTTATCTCTCTTAAGGAATGGGAGGCTCCAGCTATCTTGATAAACCAGTTCAACTCTCGGTCACGAAATGGTTTACGGCTGTGGGAACGCTGGCTTTCTAAGCTCCACAGATGTTTACGCCTCCCCCCAATATGCTCATTAACTCTCTGTAAACTAGTTAAAAGGTCTATCGAGAGATAGGCTGATCAGAATTGACATGGCAACCCACCCGTGCAGTCAGAACCTTTTACTGCTTTTTTTTTTTTGCTGTCACTGTCTAATGTTTGTCTGACTCTTACCTGTCTCCAGGACAGCTCTGAAGAGTTAACGCTCCACTACTGGGCGATGTTCGATGGCCACGCAGGCTCCGGGGTGGCTGTGATGGCTTCCCGCCTCCTGCATCACCACGTGGCCCTGCACCTTCAGGAGGTGTTGGAGATCATCTGCACTCCCAACCTGCTGCCCCCTACGTGCCTGGGGGAGGAGCCTATCAATCACCACCTCACCCCGACGTCCCAGCGCGCCCTCACCCGGGCTGCCTCGCTCCGCGGCGCCGCAGGGGCTCCGGGCTCGCCCAGCACCCCCCCCCACACGCTTCTTTACGGAGAAGAAGGTTTCACACGAGAGCCTGGTGGTCGGAGCCATCGAGAACGCTTTCAAAGACATGGTAAGAGGCGTGTGTGAAGTAGAAGTCTCAAAGTGTTTAATAGTACGTGTTGACCTTTCAATGTGCAGTGAAAATACCACACATGGATGTTGTAGAGACTTTCCCTTGTTCCTCGTGTACTGCTGCTTTAGATAGTGAATTCCTATAATTCCCAGAATAACATTGGACTTCCCCCCAAATCGCGTCAAATCGCCGGGAGTAGTTACTTCCATCTATGGTTTTATGTGTATATGAAGAGAAAGGCTAGTCCTGTCCCTTTTCCCAAAGCATAAATCAAAGCTTCCCATCTGCTTTGCTTGAAAACAGCTAGTTGTTGCACAATGAAATAAAGACACCGTGTTAATCTGGTGTAGACTGATTGTTTGCACAGCACTTCTCAACACACAAAACCAGTGAAATTACACTCCGAACTATTACAAAAAATGGCTCTATTTCATGAGCATTTAAAACCTATTCCTTGTACACTTTAATTATCTCTGTTTCCATTTATTTTACTCTTTTGGTAAACAAATGTATATCACAACATCAATTAGAAAATCCCTGCACCAATACAAATTAAAACATAAACTAATGATAATATATACAAAATACACCTAATTTACGTAGCTTGTTTCCTCACAGTGTTAAAAAGTGCTTTACAATAGATAAAAACACTATAAATAATAAGATATCATATAGGTGAATACATCAATTGGCATGAAATTCCTAATGAGAGATTCAAAAGCGCTGATATATTGAGCAAGCCTAATCTCAGCTGGTAAATTGTTCCAGAGTTTTGGGGCCAGGACTTCAAAAGCCTGAAAGTATATATCAAACCAAACATAATTGTCTAATTGTTATTACAGCAATCAAACTCACATTAAAGTATGAACATGTAATACCCAAGAAATAGATTTGATGTCAGACCAGCAGTGTGAAGGCAGTCAGTCAGATAACACACACAAGCCACCTGGCCTTGCTTTAAGTGGATTCCGGAAACTTTCCTCATGCAGAGGCCAAGAGATTGAGACCAGAGCCAATGAAAACAGAGCAGGCCTGGGTTGAGAAAGAGTTTGAGAGATTACAAGTCACTCTCCTTCTCTTGAAATCCCTGTGGTTTAACATTTAGTAAATCATAGTTCGCTATGGGACAGTGCCTGAGAGTAAATATAAACAAGTAAACAACTTTAATTGTTGTTTACAACCGAAGCAAAGGCAAGTTTATTTATATAGAACCTTTCAACACAAGGCAATTCAAAGTGCTTTACAAAAATGAAAGACATTAAGAGACAAAACGCTCCTCTCCAAATGAAAGACAAATTGTTTGTTAATGTACAAATAGCCTATTCTCGCATAACCATGTGATTAAAACAAGAGTTAATCAAATACCTACAAACAATACAGACTTCAATAAAATATATTATAATAGAGTAATATAGACACTAATTTATCTCCCACTAATGCTTGACCCAGGTCTGCAGAGCACAACGTCTTTAAAACATTGTTATAGGTGAGATCATTTGGGGAGGTACAATGTTAGCTTGATAGAGGGCAGTGCAGCTCAACACAAAATCCATTTCTCAGTACAGCTGGTGTTTACACATCTTCACCACTAGGTGGTAGTGTGCAATCACCTGTTCTTACCAAACGTCTTGGCCATTAAAGAGGAACATTTGTATTGGGGCACGTATGGCTTGTGTAGGTGTACTTAATGATTGTATAATGATCAGTTAATCAATGTAAAAAGGAGTAATCTGGTTAATGATGAGGTTTTTTTTTCACCCAGTCACAAGGATTGGGTTTTGTGAAATACAGTTGCACATTTCTTTATGTCATATGGCAGGATTTTGAAATGATGATCCAGCTTTACACTATGAAGTGGTGCACAATCTTGTCTTTAAAATGTTTCTTTTGCTGCTCTACTCTCTTTATCTTTTTCGTTGTCAGAGACATGTCTGTCCCATCTCCCAGCAATCAGAAAACATCTATGTCTCACTCTGCTTCCCCGTCTCACTTTTCACGTGTCTCTCTGGCTTTGAGTCTGCACTCTTTACCCTCCGTGTCCTCTCTCTTTCTTAAAGGGAAATCCACAATTTCAAACATTGCAGTTGATGTCACTGTGAAGCACTGAAGCTACACAACTATCTAACGGTAGTCTAGAGGGTTTCTTCAGGAAGCTATGTATTAAAGCATATACATGTAGAATGGATTTCAGTTGATTGCATTCATAGTGCGTTACGTATTGTATTCAGAGACCAGAGATGAGAAAATAAGGGTATAACCACCTGAAATAACCATATCTACTTTCCTCGCAAGTAATCATTTGTTATGTATTAGATGCAATCACATTCACATGGTACACAATGAATCTTAGAACTGTTGATAAGTTGCTACTAAAAAGTCAATTTTGTCATAATCTCCCCCCAAAGTCCTCCAGTCTTAACAAAGTCTAATAAAGTTCATTCTTTACGATAAAAGGAAGTGTCAGCAACATTTGGGAAGGTTTGGTATGACTCTTAATCTTTGTCTCAGAGTTCACAGAGTCTCTGTATCTTATCAGAAGGATCCGCCTTTAATTCTCCTCTGACACGACTCACTGCATTCCTGTGGGAGCGGCCGGTGTGTGTGTGTGTGTGTGTGTGTGTAGTGGCTGCTGAAGCCGATAAACACTCAGGGATGTGTAAACATAAAAAACAACGTCTTGTAACTCCGAGACAAAGGCTTATAAGTCAAGCTGTTGGTTATAGAAAACGAGGAGATGACATCACTAGCCTTTTTAGATCCTCTTTATTTTAAAACATGTATTTGTGGCATTGGTACGTGTATTCTCAGGTACTGAGATGTAATCACTATCTCAGTATTTTAGGACTTTCATAATGATGTGAGCATTAATTTAACATTTTGGGGAAATGTACTACTTGGCTTTTTTGTTGTATTCACTAGCCACATAGTAGTGCCAGGAAAACAGCTAGCATGACTAGCCGTTAAGCTCAGTATTAACTAAGTATGACAAATCTTGTTTGTATATTCTGTATAAAAAAGTGGAGTCTACAGAAAAACAGGCGATGAAATACTCATGCAACTCTTTGTAAAACGACAACTGTTCACACCATGCTGTTGGGCATATTTTGTTATCTTAAGACAGAGCCAGGCTAGGCTAACTTCCTGCCTGTGGTAACATCATTTGTCACATTCATTTTCCCATCTTACTCTTGACAAGAAAGCCAAAAAGATTACTTCTCAAAATCACAAACTATAGCAGCAAGTTGCCTTGAGACTTATTATGGGCATATTCATGAACACTAAAAAAGACCCAGGCTTGAATCCTACTTCTACTTACAGTATGCTACGCTAAGCTACGTGCTTGAGCCACAGACCTCAGTGTTATCAATCTTCTCTCGCGCAGACAGAATGTGTATTTCCCAAAATGTTAAACTTTTTATTTGAGCATGAGATACGACTTCAGGAAATGAAGGTTTCTCAATATAATGTTTCAACATTTCTGTGTTAGTCAGGAGTCATCAAGAGTAGTTTAACCATCCATAATCTTTCTATATTTATTGATATTTTGTATCTCAGACCTTATTCGATGCGAAGTGGGTTATCACCAGGTGTGTGACTGTGTTAGTGTGTTCAGCGGGTTATTAATGCTCTATATTAAAGGAGCATTGGCAGAAGAATTAGCCCAAAGGTCCTGCTTGCCCTCAAAAACAACTGATGTGCCACTAATTTAACTAATCAGTTAAAATGATTAATTCCCTTAATTACCTGTCTCACAGTCCATCACCAGAGTTATCCATCATATCTGATGTTTCGCATGTTTCTCTGCCAGCTCTGCTCTCCGTTATCTTTTCCTGGCCTAGTAGCTTCAGGCTCTCATTGATTCAACACATAACACTGCATCAGGAAGAGGTAGTGTTTGGCCTGACCTGTAGCTCATAGGTAGAACAGTGACTCAACTCAGCTTTTGCCAATAAAGTCAAACCATCTTGTTCAGTGAGAAAGCTTTTTTTGAACTTTGCTGTGAAGATAATGGCCTTCATGACAATATGTTGAATAACATAGCTACTACTGTATCTATGAAACCTTATTATGTCAATTGTATTGAAATATGTTTTCTTAAATGGTCAAACACATAACTTAGCGGTGTTTTAGGATGTTTATAAAAGGTCATAAACAAACTACATGATTGGTTGTTTGGATGAGAGGTGTTCATGTGGTTTTTCTGTGTATGAAGTGTGTTCTCAAGGTTCTGTTATGTGCTGCTCAATCCTTTGTGGTCTTTAAGTATACTTTGGTGTGTCACTGCTTTTTAAAAATTCAATTGGGTTTTAGTGGAGTATAATTATGTAACTATATCCAATCCATTTTATTTCTATAGCACATTTAAAAACAACAGAGTTGAACAAAGTGCTACAAAAAACAAAGCATAAATACATGAAAAACAGACAGGACATGAAACAAATGTAAAACACGAGACAATGAAACCAGATCAGAAGCCACAGACTGAGAAACTCTCCTACATCACTTAAAAACAATACAAAACACTAGTAGATAAAACCCCCAATTCAAAAGCACAACTGTCACCTGGCCTGTAAAAGTGGGTTTTTAAACAAGATTTAAAAACAGGCAGAGTTGGAGCAAGTCTAACCTGGAGGGGCAATTTGTTCCTAATATATAATTAGGTTGTCCTTAGATTAGATGTTCCTTTTTAATTATAGGGTGATTACTTACAGACAATATGTATTACATTTGAAGAAGGGAAGAAAACATTTAGCCTATCTGCCTTCCGGTTATTTAGCTCAGTTGTCAGACGTTTCCTTGCGGAAGTGGAGAGGAGAAAAGTGTAGATGTTTATTCAGGCGCTTTCATTATTGAAGACTTGGCCTGCAGCAAAACGTATTGGATACAGGGAAAATAAATATGTATGGTTCGCAATGGATTTATAATTAATTCAGGGTGAAGGACACATTTGTTCCCCCCTTCCCAACACACACACATTTCTGCAAATATTCAGAATACACACAACCCAAAAAAACCTGCTACTTCTGTCCAAAAAGTCTTCATAAAATACAAAACACTCACATTCAAAGTCATACACATATGGTTTATGCACACACATGCAAAACCGTCTACACACACATGCATTCCTGTCTCCTGTCAGAGAAACGCATACACTACAAAAACACACACATTCACAGTTGTAATCAGATGGAGGTCGTCGGCAGTGGAGCAGAAGGCGACATGCTTTAGTTGGTTTAGCATTCCTCTTGGGACGACATGTTAGGGAAGGCCTCGCTGCAAATGTGTTTGCCAACATCTTTCTTCCCGCTCACTGTGTGGAAGGTGACGGAGGGATTCGAGGAAGGCGCTAGAGGGGACGTCCATTTTCTCGGGATAACTTCATACTTCTGTTTGCCATTGAAGACCTCTCAGTATAGCAACATTAAAGGGTTAAACCAAGTGTGAGCAGCTTGGTTCAAATGTATGTTGGCATTTTGATTAATTCGCTGACAGGTTAATCATTCATCTAATTAATGAACTGTTAGCATGGGATTTTTCAAATCATTTTTTTTGTTTAATTAGCAACAAATTAATATGGGCTAATTAACTGGTGTAATAACCAGCGGTCCCTCCTAACTTTCTTTCCTATCCTTTTGGTTTCCATTCTTGTTTTTGTATTGCTTTTGATGGATGAATTCATTATGGTGCTATAATTGATAATAGTATCATGGTGTTTTTTAAGTATTCTGGCATTATTTGATTCGGAATGAGGTTCTTTGTGCCACAGCGTAATAGGAAAACGTTTTTGTAGTCTGTTATGATTAGAAACATAATTGCGTGGCAGAGGATGTGGTTGTGACCTCATCAGAGGATTCATCTGTATATGTGTTTGTATTTAGGATGTGCAAATAGAGAAGGAGAAGGCCGTCTACAACATCTCAGGGGGCTGCACTGCTCTGGTTGTCGTCTATATGCTCGGGAAGCTCTACGTTGCTAACGCTGGGGACAGCAGGTGAGATACACATGCACAAATTAAGGGGAACTTTTCTATGACACACAATGGCATTACCTCTTTTTGTCGGTCACCTTCTCGTGCCCTGCAGCCAGGAGGAGCAACAGTGTCCCACCTCAAATAAACACAGTTTTGTTTTGTCTCCCCCTCTTCCTCAGAGCTATCATTATCCGGGCAGGGGAAGTCATCCCCATGTCAGCAGAGTTCACACCCGAGTCAGAGAGACAGCGACTGCAGTTCCTGGTAAGACATAAGCTTTTTCTGCTCCTTCCTAGTGAGCACAGCTGTCAGATATTAGCAGAGCTGACCTTCCCTCCTCTGTCTCTTACACTGCCTGCTCTCTTTGTCTGCTTAATAGACTATGGAATTGCTTTTCCTATCCCGTGGGTATGTCAATTTTCTTTTTCTTCTTTTTCATATCAAGGCCTACATGCAGCCCCACTTATTAGGGAAACGAGTTTACACATCTGGAGTTCCCGAGGAGAGTCCAGAAAAAGGGAGGTGGGGAAGAGGATGCTGTACCGTGACTTCACCATGTCAGGATGGTGGTTACTGATTCTTCACTGATTTACTGATTTTAGATCGATGCTAATGCACAAGGAACACAGCATGTAAACTGTGATGATGATCCCACATTGTTTTTTATTACCCTTTTTATTTTTTACCCAAATCTTTACAACCTTTATGTAAAAATAATTTCAGCTTCTTATCCTCATATAAACATGCCTACAGTACATTACTTTGCAATTATCTACCTGTGGGCGATTTACTGTAATGTGCCCCTTAAGAAATTGCCAATAATAGTGATTTCTACCCCATTGAGTGTGCAGCACTCTAAAGCCGCTCAAGGCTCCACTCTGAGTAGGAGTGGCCTTGACATTTCTGCTTCTGTGTGTGAAAGGCATTTGAGAAGGAATATGTGGGCATAGCAAGGACAGCTCTTATTCTTTCTGCGGAGAGAGAGAGAGGTTAAAAAAGGCCAAAGACATTTAGGAAAATGTGTGAGAAAGAAGAAAAGCGAGAGAACATGCTGTACGGACTGAGATACAGATGGAAATGTGAAGGGAGAGAAAAGATAGAGGAGGAAACGGGATCTTAGAGAAAGATTTCATGGGCAGCTCCAAGTGTCTTCGAAGTAGCAAAGTGTTTAACAACCTTATATAACGTTTATATTCTTATAGTAAGTTGCAAACATTGCTAAGGTTACCTAGGCCAGAAAAACCCTCCTTGAGATAAAGGTCCTGTATTGATGTACTTAAGGAAAGTAAGGATTGTTGTAAAAAGTGTATGTATTTATGTACAGTTCTTAAATATCTAGACTGTATACTTCTTCTACTCCAATACATATCACAAGGACGTTTTTTATTTTTGAGCAGTAGATCACATTCTAATAATCGAAATCTGCAAAGTAACTAGCCTATAGAATACATGTAGTGTAATAAAAAATGCATTTGCCTCCAATATGTAGTGGATTAAAAGTATGAAGTAGTATAATCAATATACTCGAGTGAAGAACAAGTATCTCAAACCTTTACTTTTACTGTACTTAAGTAGATTATCCTTCGTTACAATCCACCACTCTGTGTTTAGTGTCCTCTGTGTTTAGTGTCCTGTCTGTCTGTAACTTTGTGTGGTAGTGTTACCACTGACAGGTCTCTCTTGAAAATGAGACCTTGTGTCTCAACCTGTATAAATAAAGGCTAAATAAAAACCACTGATTTACTATGCATGAATATTTCTAAGGGATAGTTGAAAGGTGAGTGAGGAGAGATGTTTTCTGACACCTGCGTGCAGATGTGTTTAGCGGCGCCGCTCGGCTCAGCAGATGTAGGTCAGTCAGCCGCTGTGTTCCTAATGCGGCCCAGAACTCGTGCCCGCTGACAGCCTGTGATGTATTTTTAATCAGGTTCTACCCATAACCCAGTTCTGCTCGCTTCACCCGGACTAAGTCTGGGTCTTAAATTAGCACCTGGCATTGCGGACTCCTCTGATGTACGCGAGTGTGACATCACTGTCATCTTGTATAGGTGCAGTTCATACGCTCTATACGTGCAGAGGATCTTTTTTTAAAGCCTCTGTAGCTTTCCATGAACACTCTCCTGTCAGCGTGTGCAGCCAGTGTGCCCACATGCTGCGTGTGTGTGGGTGTATTCTGACATCTACATCCCTCAAAGGCATCCATGATCAAGGCCACAGTGTAATGAAGGCATACAGGCCTGCAGCCCACCTTCCTCCCTCGCCTTCTCTACCCCCCCCCCCTTCCCTCTGTTCGTAGGACTCTTCTGCTGCAATCTGTTATCGTTGTCCAGGATGGGTGGGCGGTTTTGTTTGTGTCCCTGTGATGGATGTTGAGCGGTCAGCCGTGTTCAGGTGAAGGGAAGGTTGGGAAGAGGGTGTTTGGCTGGTATAGAGATAGAGAAAGGAGGGGGGGGGGAAAACTAATGGAAATGACTTCAAAGGCAAAAATAAATACTAGCTGCAAAGATAGAAAAAGGAGAAAATAAAATGCTAGGAAGAAATGCTGGTAAAATAAAGTAGGCAATAACAGCAGATGTATAGGCCACATAGGAGGGCACTGATAAATGGCAATGAAAGGCCCTCCAGCTGTCTCTCTTTACTGCCCACGCCCACTAAGGTGTCTGCTCTCCCCCTGATCCTATCGATTATGAATGTTAGAGGAGGGAGGCTAACCCACACCTACATCACTGTCATCCACTTTCACTCCCTCTCCTTCTCCTCCCTCTCTCCTTCCCTTCTCTTTGTCCATTACGCCTTCGTAGCATTATGACTGATCGCTTACATTTAGAGAGGCTTTGGGTCACTGCCATTAACTCTGGCCTTGCTTTGCTCCTGAAAGCACTACTCAATCTAGGAAAAAGCCTGATCAAGGTTGGCCAAAAAGTTAGTTTGAACCCCGACTGCCAATTTGTCTGACTCATCCGGTGCTGACACAGGCTCGCCACAATGTCACCTCGAAGTCTGGACAGGTGTGTGTGTCTGCTTATGTGTGTGTGTTAGATGTAAGTGTGTGCAGATTAGGATGCCGAGCACACACTGCTATTGATTCCCTGTCATCTCACTTTGCACCGGGAGGAGATGACATCACTCCTCACCTGCAGAGAGGATGATACCCTTCCTCCCCTGCATCTCTCTCTAACTCTCTCTCTCTCTCTCTCTCTCTCTCTCTCTCTCTCTCTCTCTCTCTCTCTCTCTCTCTCTCTCTCTCTCTCTCTCTCTCTCTGCTGGTCACACTGCAACGTATCAGGCCACCAAACAGCCCTTAAATGTGAAAGCGCTCAGTGTTGTGGTCAAACAGAGCGGCCCTTGAGCGACTCTCCTCGCTGTGTTTTGGACTACGTGTCCCAGAGCGGGAAGCAGGTATCATAACAGGATGAATGTGTATCTCTCGCTTTCTGTCACACACTGCTTATCTCCAGTCTGACAGGATGGCTTCGCTGTAGACAAAAGTCTCCAGAAGGGGACTGTCCCCGCCTGTGGGCTGAATAATTGAAATAAGGACATGAAGAGTGTCTCTGTGCACCACTTCTTCAAGGTGAAATACCCAAATAGAGAAGTCTGTACCGATATGGCAAAAGGGTTTCCCCATCTGAAAATAAGGGTAGGTTAATTAGTGTCTCGCAAATGTGGGTTTTGCATCATCAAACTGCTGTTTTAGAGGTTTTTCCACACCATGAATATTGCAAACATTAGTGAGGAAACTATTGGTCGGGTGTTACAGCTCGCCGCTCTGAAGATTCTGCAGACTGTATTTCTCTGTTTGTGGCCTGCGTTCGCTGTGATAGTCCTCGCTCTTAAAAAAAGTGCTGAGTGCAGCAGTACAGCGCTCGCCTAAGGTGGAAACATATGGTCTCTGAGTGGAACCAGCAGTAATGTAAAAACCATCCTGGGCCCTGCTAATCTGCTTCACAGTAGCTGAAATACATCGGATGAGGTGTGTGGGGCAGACCTGGGTCACATGATATCTGCAAATAACATTTGAACACTAGAAAAAAAAACTTTTTGAGACCACAGATAGCTTTTATTTATATTTTTTACCCCCAACATCTTCAATTCAAACGATTTTTGTCACAGTTTCGAATTTTTTTCGACCTTCTTTATTCCTATCCCTCCAGTCTAAAGGTTGAAATAAAGAATAACCTGCATTTCTAAATGTTATCCGATCCAGATAAGGTTGCCAGATTTTTTATTGTAGCACCTGGTTTGAATGGAAAAACCTTGTCATGGCAGCTCTTCTGGAAATTAGCTCAAATGTGTAAGGTTTCTGGTGCTGTAGAGTGACACAGCTGTTCCACCTAAATCAAACTGTATACCAGCCATGAGATACAAATGCAAGGTTTCCCCACTGCTAGTTTCCAAGCTGAAGGTGAATAGTGTATCTCAAGACATGGCATGAAAACATGACGTATTATTCATTATTTTTCCTCGTACTGCACCTCTGTCTGGTCCCAGTCTGAAGACGGTAAATTATTCATTAGTGGAGGAAGTTTAAACATTGCTCTGAGAGCAGGGGAATGTAAACGTGGACTCTCTTGCATCATTCAGCTGCCTTTCCTTCAGCCTTTCAGATACAAACATGCACATAGACACAACTGCAGCAGACAGTCATAGAAAACCAACCAAGAAAGTCTCATACATACATAGACGTCTCTATCTTTGTCGCTAGGGAGACTTTTAAGGAAGAGAAAAAGGGGTAAAATATGCCAAGGCTGTGTCGTTCTCTGTGTGATGTCTGGACTTTTTCCCTCATCGTCTCTCCCTTCCCTCTTTCTCTTCGTGGCAGTCGGCTTGGCAGCAGGGCCTGCGGGGGGCGTGGGAGCGATGTATCTCCAGGGCACGTGTACGCTGCCTGCTATAAAGCAAAAACCCATTAAAGTGTCCTCTCTCCTCTGCGCAGGGCGTATAAAACCATAGAGGACGATGACCTCAAGTTTCCCCTGATCTACGGCGAAGGAAAGAAGGTAAGAAGTGCTGAAGCCTGGGCTGTAATCAAAGCGCTCACCAGGGCACCATTAGTCAGCCCCCCACACACACCCCCCCATCACTGTGTGGAGGAGACAGCCAGTGGAAGGCATTCCTGGCCTCTTTTTCCACGACTAATCACAACGTGTATAACAGAAAATATCTCCGCTTTAATGGACTCTATGTCAGATTGGAGTCAACGATGGGTGCCACTTATGAGATGTGTTAAAAGAAAGATGTAAAGTGTCCAAAAAGTGACATATGAAAAGTAAGGGTGTTCTTTTTTCAATAATGACCACCTCGCACATTATCCCACTTATTACACGGCCACATACTAAATACACTAACTGTTAGGGAATAATTTGCCTAGGTATTCAACCTTTGACACAGTTCATAATTTCTCACTGTCTCCTTTCCCACGGCATAGGTCTACGGCCTTGGGTATTGCTGCTATCTCTCTTAAGGAGGGAAAGCTTGGGCGCATTGTTGTTGCCAGTCTATGACAGAGCACAAGCCGCCATGAGGTAGTTCACTGTTCAGGGACGAAGGTTCCCTGGCGCGCATTATTTTCTATGGACGAGAGCTCGAGTTAGATTCAGGGTCCATATTTGTTTAGTCTCACTTATGAAGAATGTTGATTATTACACTCCGAACTAGATAAAACCTCGAGCTGCAGAAAGAGTTCTTCAGAATTGACGTGGCAACTCTACCGTGCAGTCAGATCGTGGCTGCTGTGAGTTGTGATGTGAATTCTCCGGCCGAAGCTCCAAATAAACCATCAGTGTTTGACATCAAAGCTCCTGCTCTTCCCGTGTCTCTTTCCTGAGTCGGTGACTTCACTGCATTGCTACTACACAGAAGTTTCCCTTACACTAACGACTTCAATTACTTGAAATTATTTTATTGACTTGAAAATTATGGTTTTGCTTCCGCTAAGTTTTTCTTAGCGGAAGCAAAACGATCATTTTCAAGTCAAACGTTCCACGGTGCACCAACGGTAGGAACTACGGCAACAACAACAAGTATTTTTGCAGTTTGTTTTACAATAACAAGTCCTTAAACAATGCCAGAGCCCCAACCGTGTTTACTTCCTGCCTGTCTTCTTCTGTTGATTTATATGACGTCCAACGCTCTGTCTTTTAACCTCTTTCCTTTTCTCCCATGATCGCCCTTAGCAACGCCGATGTTATGCTTAGCAGCGGTGTGTTATCGAGTATTAATAACCTCTGAAATGTCTGAATTGACCAATCAGAATCGAGTATTCAACTAAGCCGTGTAATAATTGGAATATAACATTGCAAAAGCCCTGACATGCAGGAAACTCGTCGGTTTGGCACATGCTCAGATTCTCCGCACACCGTCATGACATTTCCCTCAGTGATGCTGTACATGTGCCGCATCTTGTCCTTGGTGCATTGAGAAGGTCAGAGAGGAGACACGATAGATCTGAATATGTTCTCACTGTGGCCTCCTCCAGTATTCTAGTTAATGCAGCCCGAGAGTGAGTTTATGTTTGACGGATGGCTGGGGCAGATGTCACCCTCGCCGTGCTCTCCGCCTGTAGCCGCTGTTCGGGTTCACCGCGGCACACGTCTCCCTTTGAAGTGAGGCGCGGAGATGGATGGCTAGATAGAGCAAGGGGGCTTTGTGCGAGGGGAGAGGAGCGTCGGAGCACTTCAAAGACCCGGCACGCAGCCTGCTGGGCCCCAACGCTCAACAATTAATCCCGGGATGTTTCCCCTTCTCTGCCGGAGGAGCTTTGCAACGCTCTCCCATCTTTCCACCTCTCTGTCTGCTTAGCTCTCCCTCTCTCTGCTGCATGCTGATCCACTCTCTACTACCAGGCCTCACCCTCGTACCCCTCTCTCCGGCCCTGTGTGCCCCCCCTGTCTCATCGGCTGTACAGAAGATTCAATTAGCCCAGTTTCACAGACCTGTTCCAGCAGGTTTAGAGACGGTGGTACCATCCTGCGCTGACTGTAGGAACCAAGAGGAGTTTAGCACAGCTTACAAATGAGTTTAATGGTGTCTGAGGCCAGACTGGCTTAAACTGTTGGTTTATCTGATTGCTCATCTTTCTTGAACATCTGCATTTAAAAAAAAAATCTCTTTGGCAAGTGAAATGTGATTATGATTATAAGCATCAATATAAATGATGCTTATCATAAATAAACCAGAATGTCCCTTTAAGAATATATTGTTGCTTGTTTTGACTGAAATTGAGGGCCTCTTATCTCTTACAGGCTCGTGTGTTGGCGACCATCGGCGTCACCAGAGGTCTCGGGGACCACAACCTGAAAGTGCACGACTCTAACATCTACATTAAGCCCTTCCTGTCCTGCTGCCCAGAGGTAGGCTGCATGTATAATGCTGTCCTTCATGATGTCACCTCTCACAGTGTGCACGGACAAAGGGAAATCGCTCTTTTGAAATGATCCTTTGCACATAAAAAAGAGTGTAACCACTTAAAGGTTTGACGAGAGCAACGGAGTTTAAACAAACAAATCCTCAAACGGTCACTTCAATTAGTGATTTCCTACTTTTCGACTATTTGTATTGAACACAAGAGACTTTATGCTTACAGAAATATAAACAAACAAAGGAACAACATAACCCATCCTCGTATTTGATTAAGAAATGTTTGCCTTCTCTGAATTTGCTCATTTCGATTGTTTAATGTAAAAAAAAATTGAGACGAAACTGCTATTTTAAATCTAAATCGAACACTTCTGCTATTAAAATCACATCATTGGCATCTTAGGTCTGCAACACTGAATAACTGAAATGCCCTTAACATCATCAGTAGCAGTATGCTTATAGTACGGTGGACCTTTCTCTTTGTCTCACCTCATTACCTCGCCGTCCTGAACAAACGAGAGCGCAGAGGTAGCGCTGTAAAATGCCTTGAGCCATTAACAGTCTGCACACCGTGGTCAGCGGCACATTAAGATTCCCCCCAAGCCGTCGCTCTCAAACGTCTCCTTTCCTTCCCAGTGTGTACCGCACATGATTGCAGTAGTCAGCGCCTGGATTCTGTTGATCTTTAATTCATTGCCCTTTGAGTTCAGTCATAGTTCAGCCTCCTTTTTGATGTTTTTTCCATTTTTTCCCTCAGATGCTTGTAGTCACTATTGTTCACTCTCAGATAGCCTGACACACATTAATAGTATATGTAAGAAGTGTCAAACCTGGTTAAAGAAAGATGATGTGACACTCAGTCATCAGACCAACATGAGTTCAAATATGGCATTCAGCGGTCACAAATCAAACGCTGTGGTGGTCATCCCCCCTCCTCCAGGAATAATTTATTGCTTTTGGAATAAATTCTACGAAACTGCCTGAGTCCTTTATCTCCAAGAAAGCTGGGCTTAAATCACAAGGTTAACCACAACACAAAGAGGCTCATGATCCACGCTGAAGTCGTCCTCATTCCTTTAGCAGTAGCCTCTGTAGTATGTTGCTGTCTGTTGTGAAAAGGCCCGTGGTATCCCCGTGGCAGCCAATGAATTACTTTGAGCAAACCAAACAAGGCAGTTTTTTTTATTTTGCCAAGGCCAAGGCCATTGGGAATTATTTTGCTTGCTATTTACGAAAGTAGTTTTCCTCGGGCTGTGCCACAGTTAAATATCTCTTTGGAAGTCATCAAAGGTTAAGGCTTTCTAAATTCCAGAAAAACATAAATATAGGTAACACATTTTTTTAACATTTATTCCCTACGTTTTTAAGTATCTGTATTTTTCAATTCAATAATAAAAGGTATTTAGAAAATGCTTAAGTAACATATCCTTCGACATTTTGCTCAATTCAGTGTTCACTTCTACTATTTATTTCTGTAAAATTAGCTTTGTCTCTTTGTGATAGTAGTGTATCATTCCCTAGATTTGTTTATACAAACAAACAATATACTTTACATTTGACTTTAAAGATTAGTTTATGTACTTTTGGATGCCACAAAAGTTGCCCTTGTGAACTGTGGGGAAAATGAAACTTAAATGGCTTAGCTACCATCAAGAGTAAGTTATGTTACATTGTTAAATGTTAAATGTTGCATTTGGCCTGAACCTTCAAGATGCCTAGTCGGGGAAATGGAGAATCATAAACGCTGACCATAATATCCAACTTGGCAAAAAAAACACGAAAGACATGTCTCCAAACTGTTGGCAGAGTTGCTGCAAATGCAAGACCATCAACATCAATTCCAATATAAAAAATGGAATCAGCTAAATTGATGGTTGCTTTTCCCTGTACCATGGTAAAGAAATGCACTTTGATTGGATTGCAATTAGAACATTTGGGCCAAACACCTGGGGGGGACTACAAGGTTAGTACTTGGACTAACCACCTTAGAATAATGCATTATTCCAATTCTACCAAACTATGTATGTGACCTCTTCATACGAAATTCCTGCTGTAGGTTCAAATGACTCCTAGAAATGATGCACCTCTCAACCCTTGCCCGGTCTTTTCCCCTCCGCCTCCAGGTCAAAGTGTACCCTCTGGTGGAGTGCGAGCATGGGGCTGATGACGTTCTGGTGCTGGGAACCGACGGTCTGTGGGACGTCCTCTCTAACCAGGAAGCGTACGAAGCCATCAACCTGTTCCTGGCAACTGCGACCCCGACGACCATCACAGGCACGTTTTACTCATCACACAGCTGCAGTCAGGGGCGGGCTGAACTTCCCTCACCCCGGCCTTATTTGTAGAGGAATGAACGCTGTTATCTTGTTGTAATTAATGCAAATTTTCAAACATTTAGAATAACTGTGATGTCAAGGAAGAGCTCGTAAGAATGTTAACAAGGCGCTCTGCCTCCTCTTTGAGCTTAGTTTCCAAAGTTAACCACAATATCTTTTGATGTTTTCCCTCATCTGTCTTCAGGCAGATGTACTTACTTAATAAAATACTGCACTAGGATACGCCTTAATCATTTATCACATTTGTTATGTCAGGTACACAATGGCAGCTCAGGACCTCGTGATGAGAGCACGAGGGGTGCTGAAGGATCGAGGCTGGAGGATATCCAACGACAGATTGGGCTCTGGAGACGACATCACTGCCTACATCATTCCCCTCATGTACGGCAACAAGCAGAACTAGCCCAGCTACGAAACGTAACCATGCCTTTGACTTCTGCAGATCCCCTCGTCCCCTGTGCTCTTTTTAAAGTGCTTTAGTGTGGAATCCTCTGCTGAGGGATCCAAGATGTCTCTGGTCACAAATGGGATGTTTTTTTTTTTGTTACCCCCTTGATAATCCTCAATCAGGATGATCTCTTTTTGTCTGGTCCTTTTTATAGAAAAAGAAACATGAAAAGCAGTGGAAGAGCTTTTTTTTTCCTTTCAAATCTCGAAGAAGCCATCTTGTAGTGGGGGAAGCCTAAGGTTGGGAGCATTAGACTCATGGACAGACGTGGTGATGTGCATCTCAGGATTGCAATTACTAACTAATGCACAATATTTATAAATGTGAAAATGTAAATAATCCTAGGTGTAAAACATTCGGTAAGTATGTTTAGTTGAGCACTTGTACAGTGTAAAAGAAACTAACCTGGAGACTGATGTCCTGCATATATGAATCATAAGTCCTCTGTTCCAGCTTTTTAATTAGCTACGTTCAATCATCTGCTATTCTTAGTCTGGACAGTATGTCTCCTGATGCTGCACTTTCAATACCTTACTTATAATGAAGGAATACTGATTCCGTTAAATGAAGGAATATAAATATGAAGACAGGACCAGTTCCCTAGTACTCCCTAGGATACTAATTATAGTATTAAATCAAACCCAGATTTAAGAAGGAAAAGTCTTTCTGTTCCATCCATTCTACCTCATCATTTATTTCCTTTTATTGTATATTCTGCTAACTCATACTGTCATAGTCCTCTTCTCGTGGCTGTTTTGCATGCTACAATCAGGTGCATCGTCAGCTTGCTTCCTGTGCCATTATTCGAGTTACATTGTTATACTGTACCTGCAAGGTTTGTAAAAACGTCTTTAGAGAATCTCTCAAGAAAGTAAAAACGCCTCACAGGGAACTGTGTGATAGGTAAAGTGTTGTACAAGATATATATTTTTCATATTAGGCTCAAAAACCCTTTGTCATGCACTCATGTTTACCCTTTTCTCAGTATCCGTTGGATGTATGGTTCCTAATAAGAAAAACCCCAACGTTATGAATAGCAGGTGCCTATAATAGAGACAATTGTTTTTAATGTGTCACTCGAAAGGAAGTATAAGACTATCACTGCAGACAATTCATTAGACAGCAATTACCCTATGTGTCTACAATCAATATTGTTGGCTGAATCCGTGGCGTTCCATATTTTGGTTTAATTGTAGTTTTCAGCTTGTCAACGTGTTGTAACCTAAAGGCTGTACGAGTGGCTGAAGCTGGTGAACAATGGAACAGAGTAATTGAATTTAAATGTAAAAATGTAAATAACGTTTCAAGTGTATACTTTTCTTGTTTCTTTTACTGTTGGTAATGTACATCTTACTGAACACTATTTGTACTGTTTTGGAAACCAAGGAACAGTGACAACAAATTATGCTCTTTTTTTCTGCTCTATTAAAAACAATTAACCTTTTTTTCTTTACTCTGCTGTGTTATTAATAAGAAGATTGCGTACTTACTGTAAATACTCAGATACAAATACAATATGTGGATAATCCTGTGATGCTCTTAGTGAGCACACTACGTCTGTGTATGCAAACAGACTTATAGTATTTAAACAGCATTAATGGATTTCATTTTTGTTAATCCTAAAACCAGAGCCATGACCTTCCTGTACTGTGTTTAGCTGCTACTTATGTGTTTGAATTCTATATATTAGGATATTTGGCTGGCAAATCCTAAAGGGAATGAAAGTCTTAAAATAAGTTCTGTAGAAATATCTTGGCTTGAATCGGGCCAAACTCCCTTACACTTCAGTAACTTTAGAACAAGACCATCACCTCTTCTGACCAACTGTGTCAAGCGTGTCCCAAAGCAATATGATGAAGGGTATCAGTTCACAGAATAGCCTGACAGAAGATTTCATGGTGGTGGTGGCTGCTGCGAGGGCGTAATTTGACACTGAAGCACACACTCACTTACTCGACTTTGCGCCCCTATTTCAACTGGTCTTACCCTTCAGTGTCTCACTTGAATAAGTAAAAGCGGGAGTGACAATGAGGAATCACTTCTTCCTTTTTTTGTGCAATTCTTAAGTGCTGTGATACCAAATACCTGACATACCTGAGACCAAAGATGTAGATCAAATCACAGGATAACGCTTTCAGGGTTCATGAGATGACTGAGATATCGTTTGAAAAATGCATTCCAAAGTCATGCAACCTGATTGTATGACATTATGGACCCCCTAGTAGTCTATGGTTTGGTGGGAATGAGCATGTCTTATGTGCTCTATTGTACATTAGCACATAGAGCTAGTTTTCCTTATGAAAGCCAGTATTAGGGGACTTTTTCGGGTGCCACTTCTTCAAGACATTATGCTCATTTTCAGGTTCAAATTTGTATTTTGTGTCTACTGTGACATGTCTCCATGCTTTAATGTTCAAAAAGCTCTTTATTTTTCACATACTTCCTGTGCTGCAGCAAATATTTTCACCCTCTGTCTGAAACCAGAGTCCAGTCTGCTCTGATTGGTCGGCCGGCAGGTTGTGTTGTGATTGGTCAACTGCTAAGAGACGTCCCGCCCCTTAGCTTATCACATGTGTTGGAGCACTAGCGTAGAGGATTTTAGCCTTTGCAGACCATTAACATGCACAAAAACGTATATAAAAAACTACTGGAAAGGCAAACAAATATATATATGGCTTCTTTAAAGCCAGCATTTTTTACACTTGAATTATTTATAAATACAATTTTAGCTACTACCACAGATTTGGGATGAAATCGTATTGTTACAATCGGCCACGGCTGCAGACTTATGTGCCCAACGCTATCAGATTCTTATAAAATGTAGAATATAAATGTACGCCTAAATACAATGGCAATAGCAAGCTGAAATAGGCCTTTTTTTAACCTGTCATTGTAAGAAAAGCACAGGTGTCGTTAATAACATGGCTCTTTTATAGTCATGTATCCCAGTAAGCAATGCCAGTGAGTCAACATGCACAATACCAGAAGATAACGCAGCTACAAATTATTTCAATATCAACAGCTGTTCCTCCCCGGGATATATCAAAGAAGCCTCATATGGAATATCTTTTCTTGTGTCCCTTGAAAAGCATTTTGTAACTCATCAAGGCATATAAAACAAAGAATCATGACAAATGAAGCATCAATGAGAACCTTTAAAGCAGTCTGCACATCTGACTTGTATCAGGGAGCTTAATCAGTGAGAATGTTTGCACCTGAGACCAATTAGGAGGCACTGCTGCACAGTACAACTTAATAATATGAGCAGGTCATTTTAACTGAATTTCATTGTATTTTTTTTATTATCTTTTTCTTTACCTATGGATTTTCTTACTAAAGTGATTGTTTCTATTGTCTAAAATAAAGCTTAAAGTAAACAAGGCACAAAAGATGGGAAGTAAAGGCTCTGAGTGTTAGCAGGGATCCAGGGAAGGTTTATGGACCACCCATGTCTTCAACAATTGTAAACACTCACTTGTATTACTTGATTCATGCTACCCACATGATCAGGGTATGATTTCCTCACACACATACCTCTATGAATGCCTACACACACTCAAGACGATAATAAAGTGCTGTCGTGGGAGTCTCACACTCCGGGTCCTCTGCAGGAGCTGAGGGCCATCTGGTCCCCACAGGCCAGTGCCGCACCCTCCTCCTCTCAGGCCAGCTCTGATCTGGCACTCCTACTCCTGTGTGTGGTCCAGATTGTATGACGGCAATGATGACAGTCATTCCTGTGGGCGGCTGGTTTTTCCAAGGTTACAGCTCTCCCACCCCACCGTGGACAGATCTGAGGGAGATGCTGAGTGGGCCTGCAGCGAGATACTCATCTCTCGTGCTGAAAAGGTGACATGCTGCCGAGGCCGCAGCCTCTGAGACTGCTTTCAGAGGAGGACACATGCAAAAGATACTATTCTTTTAACCTTTTTCGTTATAGATAGCCTATCACTTTGTCAGTATGTATTCCTTATGTCCAACTAATAGTTAACCTGACTTACCTAAAGCTATACAGTTTAATGTATAATACAACATCACATTTGATATGTTGAAACCATGAAATGTGTTTGCTTCAAAGAGGACTGAAAGGAGCACTGTGTAGGATAAAGGGAGATCAATCACATTTGATTTATTTAGCCCAATATCACACATGTGTCTAAGGGGGATTTACAGTTTGTACACCATACGACCCACTCTGTTCTTAAAGATCTATTGGCTGAAATAAAACGATATAGATTGCTACATTTGTATTAGTGTGTATAGTCACATTAATGTTTGTGTAACCTAAGAAGGGGGGTAGGCCCTCTTCAAAAGATTCCATCATGTTTCTACAGCACTGACTAACCAGAGAAGGCCTTTCACTTTTTTACATTAACTGAAGGTCACCATAGATTCTCCACATGCCTGGAAAGGTAGTTGTGAGCGGAGTGGTATTCAGTCAATTCAATTCCAATCTCACTTTTCAATGCCACAAAATCCTACACACTGCTTCTTAAAACGATGAATCAATGTTTAAAACATTGGCCAAATAAATTCCTGTTGATTACCAAAAGGAATGCCAGAAATTGTGAAAAACAATCATCAAAATTCTCAGAGCCCACGGTGACGACTTTTGGTTGCTAGTTTACCCAACCAAAAGCCTAAAAACCAAAGGATAAATGTTAATGTTGGAGTAATTAATCAACAGTAATTGATTGGCAATTGTTATCAACTGACTCATTGTTATTTTTCACAAAGAAAATGTTGGAAATGTGGTGATAACTTGTGTTTTATTGTGAGAATGCGTTGGTTTATTTGGTCATAAATTGTAGTTACTTAAATATTCTGTATTTTTGATTGATGGTGGGTCAAACAATGCATTTAAAGACTGAATCCCTTTGTGTCATTAAGGCTTTTATGATGGTAAATTCCCACTCTTATGTTTTATAGACTAATCTATTCAGTAATTTGAGGGTATTACATTATGATAAACAGACACTACAAAGAAAATAATTGTTTTATAAACCTTTATTTGACAAACGAAAAACACTTTTTTGACCTTTTGCTTGGAAAATGACCCTTACCCTTACTGACAAATTGTTTTCAATAGATTTTCTGACAATCAACTCTGCACTAATTCAAACATGTTGCACTACACAGGCGGCACGTGTTAAGGTATTTGGAGAACACACATAAGGGTCAACTTTCCTGTCAGGATGGGTGCGGCTGCTTCAGCGGTGCAGCTGTGATACCCGTCTGAGCGGGCATTTTCCACCAGGGGCTCAAATTAACTTGCTTTAGGGCTTCGGCTGCCTGAAGTATGATTTATCTGCAGACCGGCTCAAATGAGAGCTTTGACACAAGATGGATGAGAACAGGGCTGCCTCTGAGCTGCTCACTGTTCCATATGGCTCTCCTCACAGTCAGGATATGATAAATGATGTTTGGTTTTTACCCAGGAGGCCAGATCACTTGTATTTCTAACATTAGACAGACTCTTATGTAAATATATGTACTGCAGACCTGTAGGACTGCTGCTCAACAGGCACCGTTTTTCAACCTAGGTGGCTCTCCGGAACAGCATTTATAGTTTGATATCAGCACAGATGCTACTGGGCAAAGCCGTGCCCCATGATGATGAACATAAACTGCCTAACACACTATCAAGTGTGAACTCATACATATTTCATGGGAGTCTTCTCGGAAGGTCAAACGCAGGATTCAATCTTCTGTCAGTCATTGAGACAGAGAGGGGCGGGCTCTCATCTGGGCTGTGGGGAGTCTGAACTCAAAGACTGCGGCCCCCTGCACGGTTTCATCGACCCTGGCCCCTGCAGGCAATCAAGCTCATTACCCACTCTGCTCCCTACCCCCATCACGAGACCCCTGACTGCCCATACTAATGTGATACCGCGGAGCCAGATGCTGTTGGGCAGCAGAGGGAGGATTTCAAAAGGTTAACCCTCAACGCATGACCCACATCAGGCTGCACTCCCAGACCTCTGTGAGGACACCACTGCCTGTGGGGGGGAGGTCATGTGGTGTCTGTCTGTGCGTGCACACCCATGGAGTTCAAATGCTAAACCTCATCATCCAGATTTAGCATACTAATCAGATTATTACCAACAGCACAGATGTATGTCTCTGAGCTCAGCCCTGCATATAAGGTGTTTATGTGCAACACTCTCTGCTCCAGTGTGTGCTGGTATGCAGCATTATCAACAAAGGAGAGCCATAAAGCCAGTATACCATAGCAGATGTATTGCAGGATACCTCTGTGGGCAGCAGGAGCCACGTCACTCCTCTCCTTTTAGCAACAGCACTGTTGACCTACATGCTTTCTACACAGCCAACTCCGCCTGAGGTGCTGACAAACTATGCAAATCCATACGATATCGACTTCTTCGTGCATTTTTAAAATGTGCATACACATTATGGAAACTTGCATTTCGGATTCCCAGCAATACATGCAAGATTCGCCCTCCTGCCTGCAAAAAAGCACCGATTCAAGTCGAAATTATGTAAAATTAAAACTGCATACAAAGTGTTTTTATTCTCCACAATCGTGCACTATTTTATTGGATGAAACATGAAACGGGTTCAGTTCAAAAAGAAGTAACATTACAGCTGAATATTGAACATGGTGCGACACTAGCGTTGTGAATTACCTGTTTAAACCGAATAACAGCGTTGTGAGCGGGGCTTTCTTTTTTCCTCGGCCGAAGTGGAGGCACCAGCACTAGCAAGGCAGTAGATTGCGCAGTCATCTCCATAGCGGGCAGTGTCACAACCCAACCAACAGCACAAACTACTACCTCAGCCAGTGCATGGTGAAAGAGCGAGGCGAAGACGACGATAGTAGAAGAAAAAGACGGAAAAAATGTCGAAAGAAATGCACCGTCTGGACTGTACAGCGACATTCCCATGAAGACTGTCCGTCCTCTCTTCTTCTGTGCAGACTTGAAATAAAAGGGAAAACCCGCCCAAGCAGACCTGCTCCCTCCGCGCTCTTCCTCCTCCCACTCCTCCTCTTCCCTCCTCCTCCCTGTTCCCTCCTCCTCCTCTTCATTGCAAACCACAAAACGGTCCCTTCCCCTCATATGACCCAGTAGATAATCCGAAACTCGGACCTGGGGATATTCATGGGACATTGTAGGGGAGCCGAGGGGTCCCTAAAGCATGGGAAGGCTATCTATGTCTGCATGGGAAACGAGCACAACGTTTAAAGTGGAGCTGTTTTCTATTCCTGAGCTCCAGTCAGCTATAACCCCACCTACTGTTCAGTACAAGGAGATATACTTCCACACATGTTCAACAAATTATCTTTTAAATTTCCCTCAACTTCAAATATGGATACAATAACACCAGGAAACTACAATAAATATGTGTTAAACTTCTGTAACACAAAGGCTTAATTACAATCTGCAATATGAATGGTGTTGTGGTATTTTGGGAGTTATATAGGTCTGTTCATAAAGCAACCAACAGTCACTAACTATATAGATGGCAGTATTGCTAAAGTATGACTAAGCACAACTCAAAAGTGTGGAGAAAATAACAATATAATAATTGTATGGTGAAATATTTAGATTAAGTGCATTTTATTAAATCACTTTCCCTGTGTGAGCTGTCTTGTTTCTTAGTTGGAAACGGACTAATTGACGTTTGGCACTCAACGATTTGACTACAATGACATCATTGGTTTTGAAGCCTCATGTTGGGCATTTTAGCCGACACCATCTTGTTTTTTGGAACAAGCATTGACACAAGAGGGTGTAGCAGAGTACCAGTGTTGAGCAACACATTTTAAGATGTTAAAATGTTCTTTTTATGATCTAAAAACAAACCGTGAAAGAGTTACATTTGTCGGACTAAAACTCGGAGAGCACCTAGAATGGCCTTTGTAGAAACCTGTCAATCACAAATGAACCATTCCCCCTATCTATTTAAAAGAAATACATTTCCTAAATAAACATTATCCTGTATTGAAGAAGACTTTAATCTAGCAGGTCATTAGTTAATTTGAAAGTAGAGCCATTATTAATCCAGAACAATTTAAAAAAAGGGAATTTATATGCCTAAATATTTATGTTTTTCAAGATGGTGCGTTAATGAACTTAACATGCATTGTAACTGAGCACACTCGGAGCACAGAGCTGATCGTAGAATTGTCCCATTTATTTTATACAGACAGGTACATCCCTTCTCAGATGGCTGGCTATAGATGACATGGAATGTTACAGTAAGATTTGTTTTCTTGCATAAAATCCTTACTGTTGAAAATGTTGGAAAAGTTTAAGTGTTCATTTTTAAGATCAAGAAAGCCCCAGTTGTTGCATTTTTTTGTTAATTACATCATCAACACTATCACCACACACTGTACATCGATTCCGCCTCATCAGGAGAATAAAACAAACAGGCAACACTGCAATCTTTTTCAAATCTCTGTAGTTAAGTCAAGAGTGCAGTCAGTCTGTATGAGAATGGAGGGGGCAGATGAGTAATCGGCTCACATGAGAAGCATACGATGATGCGCATGAAGGTCGGGGGGCGTTGGCCTCATTGGATCTCTCTTCGTCAGGGGTCACTTCATGTCACTGTAGATGGGGCTCACGTTGAGTTCATGTCCGTGCACTTGTGAAGCACGTGGGTGGAGAAGACACATTCAAGATTTCTTTGTTATAAAAAAACAAATGTGAGTGAGCCTGGTCAGGACTCTCCGTTCTGGACTCTGGACACAGGTGGCTGCATGAAGTCTTTAAAGGGCCCCAGGGCCTCCTTCAGGGCCGAGCTCACCTCAGTCGAGGAGCATGTTATGCACTCTACAAGTGTCGGGTACAGGGCGATCACTTGAGCCCATGTGTTGCCATCCACTGTAGACAGTAAACAAGAGGGAAGAAAATACAAAGGGGGGAGTGGGGAGGAGAGGAAGAGGAGAATATGAATTGTGTTGGAAGGCAATCAAAGAAATCATTTCCTTCATGAAATTCCCACAGGCGTACGGAAATGAGTTTTGCTCTGAATAAAGGGCGATGTAGTGCAAACATCTTGAAGGGCACTTCAAAAACGTAATTTTCAAATGCCTCACTTCAGAACGATTGCGGTTAAAATAATGATTTCTAGTAATTGACCTTGCTGGAGACGTAAACAGCTCCACCCAGATTGCAGATAAAACTCATTTGAAAAATGGTCCCAACTGTACTCTGACACATTTAGCTGAAATGAATAGATGATGTTTGTATCATAGTGTCACCTCTTCCAAAGATCTATTTAATCCATTTCAAAAGTTTGATACTCACCATTCTCTGGCTGTGTCTTTTTAAGCGAGTCCATCAAAGTGCTGATGGCTTTCAACACAAAGATAATCTCCGTCACTTGTTGCCTAAAAAGAGAAACACCAAAGACCTTTATTAGCTACACCTGTACAAAAAACCTGAAGATGTTACAGTTAGAAGATGTTTGTGTTGCTCAAAAGATATAAGCTACTGTAACAAAGTAGATGAGGATTTAAGGTATTTGACCACTGACTATGTTCAGAAAGAAATAAAGCATGCGTTCGGCACTTTTATTGAACGACATATTTTTGTTTCTTAAAATGTGTGTGTCTGAATTTAAATAACCTTGCAATTGCTCTTCATATGTATTTTCTAATTATCCTATTTTTCTCAACCCCCCCCCACCCCCCCCACCGTCCTTTAGTCATTTTCTGTACTAATGGTGCAATTTCCCCATGGGCATGATTTAACTTCCATCATGTCGTGAGGAAAAAAAAATAAATGCAGTATGATACCGAACCCTTTAATGTGGTGCCAGTTTGTAAAAGTGGATAAGTACAGTGGTTTTGTTTGTTTACAAAAAGAGAAAAGGACAAGTGATGGATGCAGGACTGGAGCTCGTGGTCTTTTTTCTTTCTTGCGAAATGTCTCAGGGTTAACGATGACACTAGCAATAAACAGTGTTATGGGCCGGGGTACGTTTCTGGTGGGAAAATCAGTTAGAAATATGATTTTTGCAAAAGCAGGTGCAAGATTCCTATTAAGAGGTGTATGGTTGGGTGTACCTGGGCAGGGGGCAGCGTCCGCTCAACCTCTCGTCCTCTACGTAGCGTTGGAGAACATCCTGGGACCGCTTGAGGAGCACAGACAGCGCCATGCGAGAGATGTAGCCCTCCTGTGGAGTGGACACCTTGTTGCTGAAGGAAAACTGCAGCAGCGTCTCGAAGCACACCTTAGAAAACTCCTCCCTCATCCTCACATCGATCTCGGCCTCTGTCACGAGAAAACACTTTACATATGAGACGTTCTGCTGAGGCTGCGCTCCAGAGTGATTTACAATGAGGGCAGACACAGGGCTTGCACAACACATGCAGAGACAGCAGCCATTGTTAGAGATGAGCCACGGGGAGGGCCCAAGGACTTAATAGTTTCAGTGTGACTCCAGCGCACGGCCACCCTGCCGTCCCGTGAGTCGCCGATAATACGCAAACACAACAGAGTCAAATGCAAAAGTGACGTCTTACCTGTAAACGAGGGAGACTGCGAGTGAATGGAGCCTTTATTGAGCATGGCCATTATCTGGCCAACAAAGTCTTTGGGGATGAAGTTGGCAAACGGTAAAATCTCTGTGCTGATCAGCTGGACCACCTCAAATAAAAAAGACACAATGATGATGTGGGTCACCTTCAGAATCCAAATCAGAAACAGGTTTATTGCCAAGTACACATACGAGGAATTTGCCCTGCTGTATTATGTTATTATAACAGTCAAATATAGCAATATTTACATGGAATATAGATGAAATATAGATATACCCGTAAAAATAAAGTACAATACAATTAAATATGTGCAGTATTGGTATGTTTCACATTTCGGAGGGTTGTGCAGGTCTGACAGTATGAAGTGGTATATATATAATAAAGAGATACTGATATACTGGATGCTAGGAAAGTATTTACCTCTACATCAATGGCTTCATTCTTCTGAAACTCTTGGATAGAAACGTTATCTGGGGGTGTGCTATAAATGGAAAGAAACAATGAAATAATGAGTTTGGTACCTTAAAAGGTGCGTATTCAACCTTATATTGCCTGAATCTGTACCTTTTGGTAAAAAGAAAGTCTTCAAAGGCATTGGCCAGCTCCGGCCACATAGTGTCGAACTTTCCAGACGAGGCGTGCTGCCGCGCCACCGGCAGCCCGATAGAGAGCACCTTGAGCAGAGATGAAACGGCCAGCTTCCAGGTGCTCTCTGATGGACAGGCGTACTTCAAACCCAAGGGCATTCTTAAAGTCTTGAATGTGAAAGGGGAAACAAAGGAGAAGACGGCAATTACATAATTGTTTTCTCATACTGATATTCTGAACAATCTGTGCTGTTGTATTTGCTGTAAAGTGTCTCTACTGTAGGCTATTTTTATTACAGCACTTTGGCTCGACCAAAAATCGTTTATAAATGTGCTATATAAATAAAACTTGATGTGATAACATCTTGAGACTGAAACACAGAGAATGACTTCAAGGTCAAATATATAAAACGAAATGCAGCTGAAAACCTTTCACATCCTTCTCTTTTAAAACTGAAATGTGGAGAAACTTTTGTTTATAGAGCTAACGTCAAAGTCAGGACATTCTCTTCACTAGCAGTATTCATTCTACAGAACGAAACAAAACGTTTTTTTGACAACGTCCTCTTCTGAGAGAACAGCTGGGCTCCCTTAGGTTGCAAGCATTGCCTTCTTGTTTTGGAGACGAAAAAGGATGGGAGCCAGATTTGGATTTGCCTATGGGGAACCTTTAGTGCTTTTAGATGTCTTACAAACAGACTATGGGAAAGTGCGTTCAAACACAGGTGTTAGAAACGAGACTGTCAACTTTGAGAACAATTAAGGATTTCCGTGACTTGCACCAAGGACAGATTTCAGACAGTGCAGAAAATGCTGCTGATCTTGTGCCGCAACTTCACTTTACACTTACGTAATATTTCAACCTTAAGATCAATACTATCAAGTCAGAGAGACAAGTGAAGTGAAAGTTGCCCAGAGGCAGATGGACATTGACAGATTCCTTTTAGACAGCAAACAGAATCAACTAATGATTTCAAAATATACTAAACGTTATGCACACAAATTATCTGCATTACATTTTACTTTAGACAAACATCCCTTTGGAAATTAAATCACAAGATCCAGTCAGTCAATTCATCCCCCATTGACGGTTTGCATGTTGGCCGGTAGAAGAAATGGCATGACACAAAAAATTATGAATACAGACTATTCAATCGCATAGTTGTCTATAATCAACCTGTAGGTCAGTCACTATGAGCAACTAGATACATGCAGTCATTTGATCCATTGTTTATATAAACTAGTGTTTACAGTGCAGCAAAAAATAACACTGGGTTTAAAGAATTGGTGGTTTGCCTTAGTCAGCATACAGTATGTAAAACACCTGTTTTGACGTCATTGAGGGTATGCCAGAAGATCAACTTGCCTAAAGGTTTCTTAGGAGTGCAGCAGCAATGTTCTACCTTGTGTAATTCTGGGTCAATAAACTATATAATAAAACACCCAACAGGCTGAACAGGCTTCAACAACTTCTGCTCAATGGGCTGCCAGAAGGAACAGTTGAGAAAGAAAACTTAAGAAGTCACGGTTAATTTGGGCAAGTGCTCAAAAAAACAACACCGCTATGTCTAGCCTAATTTTGACATTTTACACTCGACAATAGACAATGCATGTAAATTAACTTTAACAGACGCTTTAAAATTGACAAAAAGTGTGAGATTGTACATCCCAACTTTTTGTTTTGTTGCTTTCGGTACAATTTGTCAGAATGATAGTCTTGGAAAACATTTCCAAAACTGCCAGGACTTTCTAGCGCACGATGACTCTCTCTTTGTGATAATACCTTGATGATGTTCTGCAGAACTTTCTCGTTGATGACAGCTTTGTGGCACGCTGTTTTATGGTACAGGTCCACCACCACCTCCAAGGAGCGCTCAGCAAAGGGCACGTAGTTTAAGGCAACCCATTCTGCCTGCGGGGAAAGAGGATTGAAGAGGAACAGGATATTTAAGTCGGACTCATCTGAAAACCTTTGTTTGTACTTATAACCAGAACCACATTGAAAGCCGTTTTTAAAAAGGCACACTTTGTATACGAGTAACACGGAATTAGTTTTTCAGGTTTTTTGTTTAGTTTTTTAGGCTTACCTAAGCTGACATGTTACAGTCAAACACATGACTTAATGCTACAAAGTGTGTCTTTAAGAAATATTAACAGAACCACACATGTGCGTATGAACATCACCAAAAAACACAAAATCAACTGAAAATGGAGCTGCACAGGGGCTGTGCACACAGACGCATAACCACCAGTTAGTGGCAGGCAGAGAGGGGGGGGGAGCATGGAGTGAGGAGACGCAGGTGAGACGTGCGAGCCGACCATGCGGTGTGATATCTCATCTACCGCAGAGGGAGGCTCGCCACCTTTCAGCACAGCTTAGTAAAACTATAGAGGGGAGGGGGGGGGGCTGAAGGAGATGATGACGGAACTCACCGGTGCAAAGAGCTGGATCTAAAATGGTTATCCAGTGAGAAACAGAATGAGAGAAAATCGCAATTAAACTGGTGTTTCGGTTGTAACCAATTTGCAGAGGCTTGTTGTCCGAAGGAGATTCTATAACCAGGACTGAATTAGGGGAACATTCCTATATGGTGTCCGACAGGTGGTAACGCGCTACAACGCTCAAAAACACTTCCATTAGGAGACAACGCACTGCAAGTTTAAAAAAATGTAAATATAAAAATGCTAATCTGCCAAAACACATTGAAATGAATTCATATATTTACCAAATTGACAACACATGCACAGCGTTTACTAACGGCGCTGCACAAACGTAATGCAGCAAATACAAAACACAACCAAGCTCAAGAGACAACGGAAAAGGGGACCAACAGTTTAAAACCCCTGAGCTTCAACATTGTTTTCTAAACGCTGCGCATGTGTTGTCAAGTTGGTGAAGATGTCCCTCTATTTGCATTGGCACTTTTGTGTTTTTATATTTGCATAGTTTCTGATGCTGCCAGGCGTTTTCTTAATGGAAATGTTTTGGGCGGTGGTAGCGCGTTTGCACATGTCGGCCACCGTACTCTTAGCACCTAAAGCCAACGAGGCATTAAAGAGCACCCAAAGCATTTGTTTGGCTGGGTGGAAATGTTGTTTGACGCTCTCAATTAAACAGATTCAGATTCTGAAGTCTGGACCCCGGGTACATGCAGGACTAACAGACTCAGGATGTCAGACACAGACATGTGTGGCGCTAACATTTCTCTATACCAGACTGCAACTCTCAGCGTTTCCCTGAACACATAGCACCTGATGGATGTTGTAAGTGTAGGCAACAACAACGAGTAAGTAAGATATCAGTGTTGTGAAAATACTCCTCTGATCTTAAGAAGAAAGGAGAATTTGTAGTCTATTTAAAAAAAAACATTTTATATACTTTATTAATCCCTCATGGGGAAATTGTTTCTCTGCATTTGACCCATCCTAGTGTTAGGAGCAGTGTGCTGCCATTTTGAACGGCGCCCGGGGAGCAGTGTAGGGAACGGTGCCTTGCTCAGAGACACCTCGGTAGCACTTGGTCTTGCCGGGACTTGAACTGGGGACCTTCCAGTTGCCAAGCCAAGTCCCTATGGACTTCGCCACCACCGCCCGTCTTGCTTAAGATCACTGGCATACAAATGTGTTCTTTAAATGACTTTGAACTGTGTTTGAAGTTAAAAGTAGTGGGAGAAGTCTCTGGTGTGCTGCCAGCAGGATGTAGCACGAGGAAGGGAAGATGAGGAAGAGATGGCTCGGGGCCACTAATGGGGGTCCTGAGGAACCTGTCAATCTCCCTGAGGGCCGTGATAGGGGCTTCATAAGGACAAGACTAAAGGGAAAGGGAGAAGGGGTGCTTCATGAACATCAAAGAAGAGGGATGATCTTGTAGAGGATGGCTGGAGAGAGAAGCTCAACAAGTAACAGAGTACACCATCCAACATTTTAATGAAACAAACTGTAAAAAGGACGTAAATCGCAAATGATAACCAGGCAGTTAAACGGCCGATTCCGTTTCCTCGTACCTGGTTGTATTTGGCATTGGCCACGTGTTTGGTTTCCATCCTGCCGTACTGAGGAGGCTTGCAGGAGAACTCCACGAAGAGTAGCAGCTGTTCGAAGATGGCCGGGTACATGACCTGCAGGTTCTCCGGTCCCACACAGATGGCCTGCAGCAGGGAGGGAAGGGAGGAACAAACACTGCTGACATCCACCACGGGACTGCGTATTGCATCATTTAGCACACTGACACATTGTTTCCTGGACTGAGTTGACACTGAATGGGAAGAAATAACTTTGTCTCGACAGGGAAGGTAAGGGTCTGCTTTTAACAGAGACATGGTACTCATTTAGAGTCAGTGCTTCAATTTAAAAAAGGTACAAGAAAAAGCTTTGTTCCGATTACATTCAGTATATCAGTCCAATAAAAACATTGCTCACATTTTGTGGGTCCTATTTCTCAAATGGAAGGATTTGCTTTGCTTTCACATAACTGTTTGGTGAAGTACAACCAACAATCTAAAGACATCACCTTGGACTCTGATAAATTGTGACATAAGGATAATCGATGATTAAAATAGTAATCAGTGGCAGCCCTTTAGAAGTTATTTGTAGTATTGAGATATATAGGTTACAAAGATCACAATAGAGCATTAAGGCTGCTCCTAACCCGCAATAGGAAATGTTTTCTTGCTATAATTTATCTCCTTGGCTCTGTCTTTTAAGATCATTTTTTATTCTAAGTCTAAAGTCAAGAGACGGACAGGAGGATGAATTCAACGAAGGTCTCCTGCTGGATACAAACTGGAGACCTCATCATTTACGACCCCTAACTCAACATAATGGACAACATATGTTAAGAGCCCTTATTTTGATTTCCTGACAACACATTTATGCTTTGCCCACCTTCTGCAAGACATCCAGCGCGGTGAGCACGGCCTCCTGCAGGCTGGTGAGCACCGCCTCAGTGTAAGAGGGCAGGATGAAGGGCGAGGCGTCGCTGCTGATGGGCACGGACACGGCCCCGTGGAGGATGACCCCCAGCTTCTTCAGGTCCTCCATACTGAAGTTGGATTTGATGTGCTGGTAGAGCGCCGGGAAAATCTGGATCAACGCTGTGAGGAAGGGCTGGCTGGGGATGAAGGAGAACTTCTCCGTGGGGCCGCTGGGGGGCCGCGTGCTGTCCGTTCCTGTTCGATACCACGTGTTCCACGCCGACCACCACAACGCAGAGTCCTCTAAGGCTGACTCCTCTCCAGGGGGAGGGGCCTGCAGCTCGGCGCCGTTGTACCGCGTCAGCCGCTCGACTAGAGAGTCCGAGCGCACCAGGGGTCTGCCGGGGCCGTACGCCGAGAGGGGGTCGATGAGCACAGGGGGGACGCCGATAGCAGTGAACGCGTCCCCTGCTTTGTCCCAGTCTCTAACAGGCGTGACGATCTGGAGGATCTCCTGAAAGCTCTTGAGGGCCGCCAGGGACACCTCGTTGTTTTTGCTGAGCGCCGCCGACTGGATGTGGTTCAGCAGCACCTCCCAGGCCTCGAAGAAATCCCCTGCAGATACACAGCACGATGATGGAGGGGTGTGAGACTGACAATTAGCGGCATTACTGGCAGTTCATATTTGCTAATTCATATTATATTTTCACTTACTTTATAATGCTGCTACTTTTGTTCTCATTTTTAATACCATGCATGTGTATTTATTAGATTTTTTGTTTATTCACATATGCTTGCCTCTTTTTTTCTACTCATTTTATTAGCTTTTTATCTGCACTGCGCTCTTTCCTTTTCATTATGTTAATGGTGTGTGATGAATAAAGGATTTCTGATTCATGTTGTACATAAAGTGCCACAAATAGCACTTTGATCAGTGAGATTTTAATGTGTGCTAATAAAGCAGTAAAAACAGCCTGAACTTTTGCTTCGCCTGACAGACATATGAATACATTTTAATACGCTATTGTTTACAGTTCTGCGGTGGCAAACTGCAGAAGTGTGTCATACCTTATGCACAGCAACATCACATAAAGGGCTTGAGTACCATATCAGATGAAGCCTGGCTCACCTAGCTGCTGGAGGAGGTACCGCCTGGTGTTGAAGATGCGTGCCACCCCGGCTAGTGTCAGCACCCACGTCTCCGCCCACTGCTTTTCAGCGGTGTCACGTGAGTGGTGGATGAGGATGTTCCCGCCGCCAGACTCGATCTTCTCCTTGTCGGCCGTGGTGGAGGACGTCCTCACGCGGCCTAGCAGGTGGAACAGTACCTGGTGGTGACACGAAGAGAGTTCAACCGTCAGAAAGAGCTTAGAAGACAGCCTTTTGAGGTCTATACTCATTTAAATTAAGATTGTAAGTACAAATGATAGATCTGAGAAAAAGGGAAGTTTCTGTCAACCCCTATATTTCTTGAAGCAATTTTTTGAAGCAGCCACATAGTAAATTACAACTCCCGGGCCAAATATACTTTTTCCTTTTGACTTACTTAGGAAAGAGCCGTCTGTAGATCAGAGTTTAATATTTTTTGAGGTTAATGAAGTACCCGGTACGAACACTTGAAAAGCACATAATCATTAAGATATTAAAGTTGTAAATTCCACTTGTAGTCAAATCCAGAGTTATTTTCCCTCCTCTATGGCGTGGTGCGGGAATTAAACCTGGACATTATCTAGGTCAGGGGTGCCCAACCTTTTTTGAACCGAGAGCTACTTTTAAAATTGCCAGTCTGCCGAGATCTACCAGTCCAAATAGAGAGGCGTAGCCATTACTGACAGCCTACTAGCAGGTAAATACACACTTCTACTTGTATAAAACTGACCTTCGTACGATTAATACTCCATAAACTACTGCAGATCCTTTATCTTACCTCTTTCTAATCTACACGCATACAAGTATTTAACTGAAGTTACACAACAGTGTTGTTGATACAGAGTTGGTGTTTATTCACACGTCACTACAGTGGGTAATGTTTTCAAGAAGCATTGAACAGTGCTGCCACATATGACACAGGGAAAAAAGAAAAGACTCTGAACCCTTTCTTTGCCATTATTTAAAAATAGTGTTGCTACAAAAGTATAAATTAGTCTTACTAATAAAACAACTCAGATCTGAAGCTACACAGGAATCTGCTGCAACAGTGCAATAAAAAAGACAAAATTAATAGAATCAAACCCTTTTTTTGTTGCATTTTAGTAGATTATAAAAATAAATGCCTTTTTAAAATAGGATGCAAGCAACACTAGTTTCTTAACCTGAATTGATAATAGACTATAATCAATTTAAGTTTGCATTCTTATACCATTTTGTACAATAATTATAATGAATAAGTTCAAACAAACTCAAACTTACAGCTGATTAATAACGGTATCTAACTTGAGTTTTTATCATATCAAAAACCTGTTGAAATGCTGCTGTTATTTTTATTACGCATCGGCAGCCTCCAGGAATGCTTCTTTCACAACTTCGCCGTCTTTGAAAGACTTCATGTGTTTCTCAAGAACGTGACTGACACGATAAGATGCTCTGGTAGCAGCCTTGCTCTTGTTGTTGGGCCTGGTGAAAATGGACTGCTGTGCATTTAGCTGTCCTTTCAGGCCCCTCCCCTTTTGGAGCGTAGGGCAGAATTAGGAGGGAATTCCGTCTCGTAGCGTTTGTGCACTGTTTTGAAATGCCGCTCCTAAATTACCCTTCTTCGATAAAGCCACGCTCGCATTGCAGATGAGACAGATGGACTTTGAATTGGAATAGATACAAACATAAACATCCTCCCACTCGGAGTGAAAATTATATATGTTTTGCTTCTGCCATAATTGCGGTCTTGTGTGTGTGCGGACTGTCACTCCTGTTGACACGGACAACGTTAGCGAACTAGTGCACTGCCCACTGCTCACCAGCCACGCCCCGACACATGGGGTCACGCCGGCCAATCACAAAGCTTTGATGCGTTCAAGTGCATTATTCTGGCACAGGAAGATTATGTTACAGGACATTAACGATAAAACAGAATATTGTTGTTCTATTTTTAGACACATCTCGCGATCGACTGGGAATCTCCCCGCGATCGACTGGTTGGGCGCCCCTGATCTAGGTTTTTAGCACTTCTGACCTCCCTTGTCCCGATGTCAATGACCTTTTGATTCGATTTTTGGTTAGATTCCCAAATGGAGGTCTGTACTTAATACAAGTTTAAGAGATTTTTACAATTTCAGTCAGTAAACACTCACTGGCGTTTAAAGCTCTAACGCAGGGGTGGCCAACCCGCGGCTCTTTGCCTAGTTTCATGCGGCTCTTCAGTTCATATTGAATTTTATATGTGTGAGTTTGGGGGAGAGACACTGACTCCTGACTAGTGTTGCACGGTGTACCGATACTTGAAAGGTATACCGCGATACCCTGCCGTTAAAAAACGTTACGATTTCTCCGTTTAAGAATGACGGCGGAAAGTACTCCGGTGAGAAAGCGCCGTTTAAATAAGAGCTGTGTGTGTTCAGCGCTCTGCTTCCACTCCCTGCTCTGCAGCCGTGCCTGCAGTCCCGCCCCTCTCAAGCACGCTCAAGTGCCTCCCCGCTCTCGTGCACGCGCTAGCTGCCAGAGCATGTGAGAAAACGAGAAGCATGGCTGCAAGTGGGAGTGCAACTGCCGCTGCGCCTCGGCTTGTTGACAAAAAAGACGCCAGAAGCGAAATGTGGAAGTATTTGAGCTATATCTCTGACAGTGAGGGCAAGCCTACGGACACCACGAGGCCTGTCTGTAAGAAATGTATTAATTGTATTTAATACGAATTCTTGTCATTTATTTTATTTATTGTTCTCATTGTTTAAAAGTTTGTGTTATGGTTATGGTTCTGGTGTGAAATAAAGCACAATAATTACATTTAAGACTGTTTCCCTTTTTTAAGAAAAGTATCGAAAAATAATCGGTATCGGAATTCTTGACTTGGTATCGAAACCAAAATGTTGGTATCGTGACAACACTAGCTACTCCTGACAGTTAAACCTGATATTTAGTAGGTCTGTTAAGTATTGAATGCTGATAATTCTGACGTAATTTGGCCGGTCAAAGTTGTTTGGGCTCGGATAAAATTGCTCCGTTACTTTCGTTCCGTGTTACTTTCGTCCCGTCTTACTTTCGTCCGGGCTCTCCCTACGTGTGTATGTGTGGTGTCAGGTGTCAGTATGACGGCCCGTCCACACAGCGGCGTGCGTTGAAGCTTCCAACGCTTCTGCCCATTCACTTTGAATGGGGTGACGTCACTTTTAGCCGAACTGCATTTTGGGAAGCGGAGCGTAGCTGGCGTTGCTCGCTTCAAAAGTTGAGCAATGTTCAACTTTTGACTCCTCGGCAGAAGCGTCAGCCAATCGAATCATATGCCAGTACAAGCTCTAGCCGATCAAACCGCTGCTTGTGTGTCAGGGGCGGGAGATTCATGTGATTGGTTGTTGGTCGAGTGTCAGACACGCCCGCCGGCAAGCGTCAACGCACGCCGCTGTGTGGACGGGCCGTGAGAGGATGACAGCGCGTCTAATTTTGATGTGGCCCAAGAGCCAATCACAATAATACCTGCGATGCAGTGAACCAATCACCTTTTGAAGGGGGGAAAACCTATCGTTGATTAAACACTACTATCCAGTGTTTCCCCTGCCATTGTCTTGGAAGGGCGCTGCACCCCGCCAACGGAGCTCCGCGCCCCCCCTGAAATTCAAGGTGTTTAAACAATATATATAATTTTTTTTTAAATATATACATAGCACCAAATTGCAAATAATCTATAACTACTGTCACTTTTCACATTGAACATGCGCTCTTTTATTAAATAAACTAAACGCTTTCATTTGAAGTTGTGAGTTTAGTGTTTTTGACCCAAAGAAACACTGATGCATTAATCAATAATAATAATCCACAGCTCCTCTCTGCTCCAGAGGATTTAAAAAATATATATCCCAATGCCACAAAAATGCATCAGTGACGTGGTTGAGATCTTGTCTCCAGAAAACAAAAAACTGAAACAAGCGGTATCAGTGACTGTGTGTTTGATGTGGCTCTTTGCAGTAACATAGAAAAAATGTGGCTCTTAACCTCTGACTGGTTGGCCACCCCTGCTCTAACGCATCTTTAAAATCAGGGGTTGCTGATAAAGAAGATCCAGGACAGATCAAAGTAATGTTGTACTCAAAAGTCAAGACATTTTGGTTGCATGAACCACCAAGCAACTCTCATAGGAAAGAACAGAGCCCCTCCTCTGACTCAGTTATTTGTATACATCTTTGATTTAACATTATTCAATACGATTAAATATCATTTACAACTCCTTGGGTGTTACCTTCCAGACCACAATGTGCCATGTGGGCTGCTGCAGCAGGGTCCCGTGGGCAGCTATGGTGGAGAACAGTGTCTGCCCAGCGCTTTTACGCACAGCGGGCCGGGGGTCCACACACATCTCGCCCAGCTTGGCGTACAGACAAAGCCACAGGCAGTCAAAGGGGGGGGCGGGGTGGAAAGGCCTGTTCAGGGTCTCTCCCTTCTCCTTGGCCTGCTTCTGCAGAGCCTCCTCCTCCCTCTCCAGGTCCTGTGTGATGGCCTCGCCTCTTTGGAAGAAGTAGTCTGAAATGTTCCACTGTGGGTGAAAATGGGAAGTGGGGTTAAGGAGTGCGGGCATTCATTGGAGAGGAAGGTCGGTAAAACGCTGCTGGCAGTTTTGCTATCGTATTACCATAAAGTAATCTTTCAGGAACAGCCACACTCCAAGATAAATAATTAGACAAACCACAGATCAATATTGGGTTTTGCATGTCCTGAATACTGTAGAGAGAATCTATAAAATGTCTGCAGAGTGCTTCAGTGCTGTTGAATTAGATCAAATAATGCAAAACAAGGAAATATCAACTTTAATACTATTGGAAAAGAGTATTAGTAAGAAAAAGCCCAACCTTTCACAAACAAGTCATAAATACACTGTAGTAATAAATAAGGCAGACATTTTGTTTTACTATTTATTCAACCATATTCTTGTTAGCGTAGCCATGCTACAAATTCTAGTAACCCACAGTTACACTTGATTGACACCTATTACATTTAAATTGAAACAATCTAAATGCATGCTTTCTCCTTGAGCCAGACATATTGATTATAATAATCTGCAGCAAACAAATCTATTATTGATATATAAATATTTTGGCATCCGGCTGAATTACAAATTCCATACCAAATCTTGTGAGCTAACTGCAACAGTAAATGAGCTCCTCATACAGAAAAGGAACCAGCTTTTATATGATTAGTAGAAAGGGGATGCGTTTGCTTATCAGTTCTGGACTATAGCGATGTGATTGATAAACATGATGCTTCCATACAACCTTAGACTTGCTCTATCTCTGACTATGACCTTGTTACCTGTCTAATCATTTTTGTTTGGTCTTCTCTTACAGAGAGGCAGGAGAAATATTGATATTTTCTTATTTACAAAGTCGTTACTGGGTATCCGCCATATATCACAATAATACTGGACCATATCTAACCCACTCAAGTGATTGGTGTATGATTAAGGCCCCCTGAGCTCGTTCTGATCTTTCCTTTAGTTTATATAGCATCATTTGACCTATAGCCTCTAGATGAGTTGACCATATGTTTTACTGAGCATCTTAGCAGTAACCCTGAGTGTGAGTCTGAGCAAAACACTAACAATAAAAAATGTCTACAAGACAAAGTATCTCACCAGTAGGCCAATGGAGGTGAGGCTGATGTTGAGCTCCTGGTTCTGGAGGCCGAAGCTGCCGGCTACATCCACTACGATCTGGAGGCAGGTGCAAGGCATTGTGGGTAGGAAGTCTGTCACCACCAACTGCAGGCACTGGAAAGCTGTGCGGATTAAGGACTCGCTGAAGGGAAGAAAGAAACAAGGCACGCTTCGGTTGAGGTCATTGATTATTCGCAACAGATATTTAGGCTGATTCCCTAGATTTGTCCATCTCTTCCTCCTCCTCTGTTCTCTTACCCTTGATCATTGCGGATGGCCCCGATGACTCCCAGGACGAGGGGCCAGCCGGGCCCCAGGCCGTCTCCCTGGCTCTGCAGGATCTGCAGGACACTCTCCAGCTGTTTCTGCCGGATGTCTGCATGCAGCACGTTGGACAACTCCTTCAGGGGGTTCAGCAACAGGAGCTGCAGTCGCTGGAGGGAGAGAGGGAGATGTTCAAAGATTTACCAGAGATAAAAGAGTCATCTAAAACATTTGATTTAATACAGTTTTGGGGAGACATACAAAGGTTTAAACGGAATAATGAGAGATTGCTCAATGCTGTTGACTGCAAGTTAAGTGTTGATCACTTTTTTGGCAACAGTTATTTTTTTCAAGTCATTTCAGATATCTGTGCTTTTGCAGACGGTTGTTAAATGTGAGTTATAACCGTCTTCTTTGTATTTGTTCTAACACAATGGATTAGTTGCATAAACCCAGTACTCTGAGAGGCAGGGATGACACACAGACAAGCTAAAAGAGCTAAATAAATCAAAGAGTATGGAAAAATATAATGAAAGCAGAAACTTGAAAGTGAAGCAAACTAATCGATTTTAATATAAAAGTAGTCATGACAGGCATTTTGGTGCCAATATATAAAATACATTTTATAAGAGTTAATATACTCAAGGAAAGCCGTCTGGAAACTTAAAGATGGGTATTCAAATATCTTACAACTTTTTTGGGGTGTTTGGTTAAAATAAATATTTAACATGCTTTTCCGGTTATTACCCGTCCCCTTGTGTTATGTAGCTTTTTATGCATGTAAACGGTCTGCAGAGTCACAAACCCTCAAAGTACACCCTGTAGCGAGTACAACTCTAACACAGAAAAGACCTGTCTATGCTGCCCCAGAACGCCTCGTTGGGGATTTCTTTTTTTCCATTGTTTGCTTCCTGGTTACAGTGACGTGCCCATGCCCAAATGGACGTGAGGCTGTGAGTCGGTGTGTGAGCACACACACAAACTCCCAGCCAGGCTGCGGGTGTGTGTGTGTGTGTGTGTGCTCGGGCTGGTTTCGGGCTGGGTTTCGCTGTGTCTCGCAGACGGCCACTGGGCTCACAGGGAGGGGGGGGCAGGAGCTCCAACAAGCCGTTTCGGACAGAGAGTGAATACACATACTATACAGAGATGCTGTATGAGAAACCAATGTGAGTTTGGAACATTGAACAACATACATGTATTTTAGTATACCTCAACAATGGAATTATGATCAGTAGAAATGGCCATGACATGGGACCGTTAAAATGAATTTCCACTGCAGGATTTAGACAATGAGTCTGACTCAAATGTCTCTTCTTTTACCTTTTTTTGAATAGATGCATTATTTAACATTAGTAGAGTCGTGGGCATACTGCACGAAAGGCATTGAAGAAGTGATTGCATTGTGCATTTCCCACACTGCAGTCATTGCTGGTATGGCTCTGTGCTGTTTCCATTAACCTCCACACAGTTCTCCTGCCCTCTTTCAGATAAGCTCTGCGCCGTTCCCTTTATCTGTCTGAGTAGGCGAAGGTCACAGTCTGCGTTTGTGAGTGACAAGAGAGAGTAACTTTGACATTTCTGTTTCCCACACTTTAAGCATTTGGCACTCTCTTATCTATCCTGACAAACTGTGACAGTGGAGGAAATGTCTCAAATGTCAGCATTTGAGTGAAACCCAGAGAAAATCCACCCATCTTATAAAATACTCCCTACACGGTTCATATTATGGATAAGGGCTAAGAGCAGAGAGGTGACCTGGAAGATGTTTGGTTCAGTTTGTCCTCAACGTTGATACATATAACTTCACAAAGCAAGTTTTTGTCTGCATTTTTGTGCTCTGCTGATGTGTGGAGGAAATTCTTAAGAGAAACTGATAAATAACTTGTGGACAAAGTTTGTCTTTTGTTATATTTAATAAAGTAATAAAGGAAGTCAATATACAAGTGAAATCGATCCCAAATGTAGGAACAGAGCTACTTCCTCCTCAGAGGATAGAGAAGTTCTGCACCCAGAACAGAGCTTACAGTTATAGTAATGAGAATAGCCAACTGCTCCCATCCTTAAATTCCCTCAGGCATCATCTAAACATCCCCACCATTAAACCATAAAACCCCTCGTCCTTAATCATTTGCATATCCCCCTTTTACACTTCCTTTTGCCCTCCTGCAATGTCAATCCTCAACATACAGTACGTCTCTGTTAAACGCATACAAGACTACAAATACAATCTAACAGTGTAAAAGGCAATCAGAGTATAAGACTATATGTTTTAAATGATTATAGGATCATTTGACACGACAATGTGTAATGTACCTGATTTTGGGCGAGGGGAGGGTCGTGCTTGTAGGCCAGGCCAGCCTTGATGAGCGCTGTCAACGCCTCGGCCCCCCACTCTCTCATCCTGGAGTTTGTGTGCTGGCAGACCTGCAGGACACAACACAAAGACACACAAATACAGACACATGCGCACAATGATAGATTTGATGCAGAGAACAGTGTTTTACCCAGCAGTGGGTTGGTGTGAAACAATTGGGTGGCATACTGTACAGCAGGGTCTGTGTGGTAAAGACTGGGATCCCCTGTGATCACAAGATATGTGACAAATATATATAGATACACATGAAGAGGCCAGACTCAGTAGAGAAAGGTACACAAATGTAATATAAAAACTATTTTCTTTTTAAGATTTTTAATTCATCTGTGATCCAAATGAATCATCTTTGGTGTATAGGGAGGTTTACTTTCATACAGGGTTCATACACTTTTTCACCAATGATTTTCCATGACCTTTACCTAATTTTCCATGACCAAAAAAATTACTCTTTCTCAGCGGTACCACTGAAAATGGTTTATTTTAACATGGAACAGGAAAATAAGGTCTGCATCTGAAACATGTTGTGCCTATCTAAAACAAATCAAATAGGCTTACTAGCTTCTACGCGCTAAAGCAACTCAAATCTCTCACCAGCAAAATACCTCGACAGTTAAATGCCATTTTACGTTTAATTACTATACAGCATGTATTATCGTTATAGTATTACTATTTCGGCGATAAGATAAAATATAAATTATATTTGATGCAACTTTAGTTACATTTCCATGACTTTTCCAAAACGTTGGGGAAAATATTGTTTTCCATAACTTTTCCAGGGCCTGGAATTAGCATTTTGAATTTCCATGACTTTTCCAGGTTTTGAATGACCCTAAGAACCCTGTTTATAACATCAGACTTACAATTGTAACAATTGTAACTGTACGGAGGCTCAGTCACTGGTACATTTTTATATACAAAGCCATGTTAGGGAAACTTCCATCCTACATCTGCTCCCTGATCTCACGGCGAATTGTAAGTGGCTACTGCCTGAGATCGAATGCTGTAGTTTTATTAAATGTGCCAACTGCTAGGACTGTTTTAGGGAAGACAGCTTTTAGATGCGCAGCTCCTCTGTCTTGGAACAGTCTGCAATTTAAATGGAAACTGAGCAATCTGGTGCCACTAAATGTTTTTAAAGCTCGGTTGGATGCTACTCAATCGGAAGCTGTTGGTACCTGCTCATGTGGATAGTTATTGTAAATTGTAATCCCTGTAATGATGCTGTAAGATGTCCTTTTTGTGGTTCTGTTTATGTTTTTATGTTTCATGTGGAACCTACTTGAGCAGGTCTCCCTTGAAAAAGAGATCAATGATCTCAATGGGATACACCTGGGTAAATAAAGGTTTGAAATGAAATGAATTCCTAAGAGGATAACATCTCTGTGTTGCTTAGGGGAACAAAGACAGACTGCTAAGTACCTGTTCCCCTGCAGAATCTAGATGGCCCATGTGTATCTATGATAGCATTTTAATCTTTATTATACTGTACTTCTGTTAATCAAGACACAATAAACCTGATATCATTTTCACATTTCAATTCAAATATAGAAGCTGCATTTGAATTTGAAGTCTGCAAAGAAAGATAGGCAGCGTTTTATCGGAGCATTAAGAACATACTGGCAGGTGCTGCGTCAGATTCTGATTCTGTGACAAATCAGAGCGTCACGTTGGAAATTGAGCACAAGAATGCAAGGTCAAACACAGGAAGCGGAGCAAATGCACTGTGGACACATGTCGACTCCAACGTGTGGAAGCCAGACTGAGAGGAAGAGAGGAAATATCGGGAAAAAGGAGATTGGAAAGCCAAAGATTATAGAGGAGGGAATCTCAGCTTACCTTCTGCAAAACAGACAGGAGTGCAAAAAAGAGAGGGGAGATAGACAGAGTAAATGTGAAACCTCTTAACACCTTTCCACACATAACAATGAGATTCCACAGATATGAAGACGTGTGCCAGTAGTGAAAAGTAAACTCAAGTTAAATCCACTTCTATGAATAACACTTTACAAACAACACGGTTGACTCCATATGTTTTAAATCCAAATTTGTGTCCAATATATTCTTACATTAAAAAAACACTTTAGATAATAAGAAGTTGATTTTAAAGCATTCTGTATTCATGTTGCTTCATCAGGGAAAATACGCATGGGGCTCTCTTTCCCTCCTTTCTTAGATATTCCTGTGCCACAAACAAAAAGCTATGTCCCATGGACGGTCACATACACTCAAATATGCTGCGAATAATATTGCTTTATTATCTGAATTTCCAAAATCAGAGATATGCTCTAACAAAAATGAGCTCAACTTGGTACTGCCTTAAAACAGTGTAGACACAAAGAGGAAAAAGCATCATTTTGCAAACACTGGACATTATTCAGCCCATCCCTCTGATTTGATCAAACTCTGGAATACTTTTTATAAACTTTCTGCCCCTCTATAGCTCATTAAACTAGTTTTCTCCTCCGTGACTGTACCCCACCACTCGTGTGCCCCAGACTCCATGGAAAAACGTTCATTATTAGAGCTTTGGTCCTGGGTAAGTGACCAACCGGGTAGAAGGGGGCAATTTTGACATTCTTTTAGGTTTTAGCTTCCATTTTTATTATAGAGTTTTGTTCCAAATTACAGTGACATCATCATCATCACTGGAAAAAGTGACAATCACTGTTACCAAATGTACACAAACTGCTTACTGGACAAATTCCTTCTGCACTTATTTGACCAATGGAAATGAAGTCGGATCAAAGTGTAACCGGTCAAATAAACACAGCTATTTCTGTATGAGGTCTGTTGACATCATTTCAACAGATTTATGAAACTAGGTCTTTACAGGGTTTTAATACACTGTGTTGACATTGGCTCTGCACATTATGGGATGTAGCTGTAAATAGATGTTACCTCCAACAGGTGGCCGGTGAGGGGTCTCCACAGGATCTCTATACGATCCATGTTGACCAGGCCGGTCTCCAGCAGCTTGGCCACAGCAAACAGAGAGGGCTCCTGGAACAAAGAAAATAGAAACCATTTATAAAGACTTCTCACATTATACCCTGAGCTTACTGATCAAAGGCATAGGAACGGATACCTATGATAGAGAGGGAAGACAACATCCATTTCTTGTACAATTGTATGAAGTGTTATTCTTAGCCTACAGTTGATATTTTAACCAAAACAAAAAAATGACATATCCAAAACATCCACCAACCAAGTTATAGAGTAATACATTATAGAAATATTGACCTTGTTGTTTCCAGAAGCCATTTCCATCGCCTCCAGTGAGAGGGAACACAAAGCGTTGATAAGGTGATGAAGGGACACATCATCGAGGTACCTAATCACATAATAAAAACACAAAATGCTTTTTAATTGTGCATATTTTGTTTCATTTCATAGACACAAAAAAACATATTTATGTCCTTTTGGTTATTATTAGTTCTAAGCAAAAAATGTATCCATATTGACCGTTGGCGGCAAATATAGGATAAGCAATTTGAGTTTATATAATTCTATTTTATATAACTTTACTCACTGAGAGCTCTCAAACAGTCTGGACAGGATGTTGGCGATGAAGGGCAGGTCTGTCATCACGGCTGTGGTTAGCACCTTCAGTTTAATGACACACACACACACAGCCAGTTAGATCACAACCTTTAACAACGAGGTGGAAAACAAACAGTGTCATGCAGACCAAACACACACTCCCTAAAAAACTCACTGTGCTGGGTCCCTCCACAGCTCGGCCAGGCTTCAGGACCCCGCCCGGCCCCGGCTTCAGACCCAGGATCCACACTAAGTGCTGGGAGAGAAGTGAGAAGGTGAATTAGAGTTGAAACTACACTTACATTCACAGACAAGGTCATCAAATGTACACTGACATACTTGAAGACAAATGTATCAAATGCAAATGATCAACCTAAATAAGAAGAAATGTAAGTTATTCAATTAAACTCTACATCATCTCCTGTTACTAAAAAAGCACAAAAAAAAGATATATTTTATAGTTAGGTCTATAAGATGTATTCTTAGCAGGTCATGTGTTTTCTAATAGGAAGAGCAAGCAAACATTTATGCATGTTCAAATGTAAATATGCTTTAATAGAGAAGTGGGGGAATTGTAAATTCACCTATGTGTGTGAGAGGGAGGGAGAGAACGTGGACTGTCTTGTCTGATTAGAAAAGCGTGTGTGTGTGTGTGTGTGTGTGTGTGTGTGTGTGTTTGGTTAGGTGTTAACGTGTGGTATGAGGTGGTAGAAGTACCTGCAGTGTAGCCAGCACCAGCTGCCAGGAGGTGCCCAGCACGGCCCCGTGGCAGTGGGCCAGGTTCAGCAGGGTCCGCATGCACTGCAGGTTCTTTGAAGTGAGCTGACAGAGGGACAGACAGTCATATCATAGCAGATTGTAATACGCGTCATCATGGCGTTAGCTTAATCACACTAAGAGAAATAGCAGAAGAAACTCAAACGTGAGGTATTACTAAAACTCAAATCTGTAAGTACCATAAAAGAAACACAGCCATCCGACTATGGTAACAAAAAAAAGTGGGACGCATACACAGTAATGTAAGAGCTTTGACCATAAATACAATAAAAAAACCTCCTAGTTTTATTATTACTATGGGGATATCTCTAATTACAGCATATTGGTTCCAGGTTAGGGTCAAGGTTACTGCTCATGTATGTTCAAATGTTATTGCCCTCAAGGGAAATTTGATGCACATACTTGCCTGACCTGCCTATGTTCTTAACAGTTGTCCCTTACCTGAACTATTAACAGTTTAATGTGGCCGTTGCTACACATCAGACGTTGTATATAATATATACAGTATAACAGTTTGCTTTGTTTTTGCAGCGGTTCATGTTTTTCTGAAAAAGTGTTAATTTGTCTGGTTATATAAAATGGTCGCAAGCTTTGTTTTGGGAAAACTGCTAAATTAATTCAATTATAATAATACTTAGTGTACCATAGCCTCTTCGTAATTGTGTTTGTGTGTGTGTTTGTCCTTACCACCACAGTGCCCTGGGGCTGGGAGGCGAGGGGCTGCCCGACAGCCACCACCTGCTGATGAGATTCACTGGAGGGACTGATGATCTGCACAGTCTGGCCCAGGATGGAGTACGCTGTGGAGAAGACACGTAGACATGTGAAAACACACACAGGAGGTTTTACCATGAGAGTCAGTAATGCACACAAACATGTTTTGTAACAAGCTCACGACATGCAAGAAAAGCTTTCCTAATTAACTCCAAAGCATCGTTATTTGAGATCCAATTTTCCGGCTTTATCTCTACAAGCTAATATGCAAATACCGTCTGAGTGTCTGAGCGGTTGGTGTGAGAGCAGCTGTGTGAGTGTACGCCTACATTCCCCAGACACGTTACTAATTAGAGCCCGCAGTTAAAAAAGTTATGGATTAATGCAATAAGAGCGGGGCAACAGGGACCGGCAGACTGCCATCATTTCACATGTTAAGCTCAGTTTAGCAGCATGCACGTCTCACCATATGGGAGATGAGAAAAGCTCATTAGAGTAACAAACACACATGACCAGAGGACATCCTCAGGGTCGGAAAGGGGACTTTAGGATGTGTGTGGTACGATTAAGCAAATCAGGAATACAAACATGCATAACAGCCCAAAATGGTTTGCAGTGTTATCAAGGTAATTCAGGTGTGTTTGTGTATGTGTACAGGCAATTAGCAATGAAAGCCAGGGTCTACTTGGTGTTCTATGTAGTTTTGGATGGTTTAATAAGTAAAGATAGTTACATTTGCCGGTGAGGCTGGCGGCGTTGCTGTTCAGGACAGTCAGGGTGTAGTGTGGCGGCAGAGAGAGGCCTTGCAGATGGCGGTTGATGAAGGCGTCGCGGGGCGTCACCAGGCCCAGGCGCCCACACAGCGAGGCCACTGTCAGCTCTGCCTTCAGGATGTTCTCTGTGGCCGTCTCATCAGTGCTGACAGGACGGGACAGGAGGGGACAGAAATGCAGAACAAAGTGAAAAAATGTGTGCTGTTAATAGCTGTTCTGTTATTTGTTTGCATGTAATGGATACAATTCCATCAAGGGCAGAGGTTGCGCTAGACTTTTTCGCTGCCCGTCAATTTGACGGACAGGATCGTAACAGTTTCCGTCAAAATCCAGAATTACCCGTCGGCCTTTACACAACTGGGGGGGGGGGGGGGGAGCATGCTCGTTAACTGTCAACGGGAGGCGGAAAATATTTGGTTAACGCGACCTCTGATCAAGGGTGGTTGCAATGATTGAATTTGTTATAAGAGGACGATACCTCTGGAGAGTAGAAGCAGTACTGTAAGTGTGTGATGCAGTAAGACTAAAGCATGCTTGGCTTGAAGAGTACTTAGCATTCAAGTTGCTTGTAAAAATGTGAGTATCTGACTAAAACAACTACGGAACAGCCTATAAGACTGTTTCCTCTGAATTGCATTGCTAAAAATAACTTTCAAACACTGCAAAAAGAAATCAATGTGTCCATGTTTGTTTTAAACTAAGCACACAAATGAATGGTTTCTTTTTTTCATATCATTTTGGGTTTTCCTAAGGGACATTTCATTATTTCCCTTTGGTTCCTAAGTGGACATACACTATGACTTTAATAAAGCAGTTTGGTCAGAAACAGAGAGTCCAGTTACCTGGCGTCTAGCAGCAGAGACAGAGCAGCGAGGAGACCGCACCAGCAGGCGCTGACCATCTCCTCCCACACCTGATGGGCTCCTGCGACAAAAACACAAAGCATGTGTGAGTTTAACATATGTATTCCTAAAATATAAAAACAGACTTTCAAAATGATGTTATGGTTGATTGTATTGTGAACTGTATTTGAACTTCTATGACTTTTCTGGTATTATGTTGTTGTTTTTGTCTCTGAATGTGACTTTGATGAGTCCTACCTTGAGACTTGAAATATCATTGTTTTGTTTTGTTACTGAGCTTCTTTATTATGGAGTTTGTAGTTATTTTTAAATGTCAGATGTTGATCAGGGGCGATGTGATTGGATAAATCAAGGGAGGGCTTTTTTCTTCCTCTATTTTCTACCCGCCTGCTTCAACTAACTCTGTTTTCTTGTAGCTTGTCTGTATGAATTGTCTGTTTTAATATTGAATAACTTGAACAAAAAATATAGAATCCAGAACTTATTTCACTCCATTATCACCCGGGAAAAGAAACATGCCTCCATTTTGATCTCTTATTGGAAAAGAAGACATACTGGCCACCAGGGGTCATGGAAGTGCTTCCACCCACAATCCCCTTGGGTTTGGCCATGACGCAGTAAAACATTCTCACCGGGTTGTGGCTGCCACTGCTGACCAGGATGAGTTTCCCTGAACTCAGCAGCGGCCCCCTCCTCCGCGGCCAGCTCCCTCTCGATCATGGAGGTGATGCCCCTCACCAGGTCCAGCAGGGCGCTGAAGGCCACCGACATGGCGTAGCCCTCGGGGATCGACGGGGGCTCCACCTTGTCCAGCATCTCCAGACTAGACGATGAAAGAAAGGGACGGAGCAAATGAGATAAAGATCGTATCCTGAACTCAATACTGTCTGTGAATAAATAAAAGTATTTCCGTAAATGTTTGCATGTTCAAGCAAGGTAGGGCATATTTGAATATATTGCATCTTGTACTTAGAGGCAGTGCAAGGTGACTCAATAATATAATGTGCATATTGTTTTATATAAAGTTTAACAATACACAGGAAGCAAGAATGTACATAAAAGTATACATTTTTCTTTGAGGGTCATATCATGGCATGACGCCTGCCTATACACAAATTACTTTTAACATCAGTTATCCTGAGTATTCAGACTTCTTATTACCATGCACCTTACATCCCAAAACTGCACATATTTTATTTTATTGCCATATAATACTGTGCTTAGTCTATTTCTTGGGCCTTTTCTTACAATGTATCTTCTCCAACTGTGTTTATTTATGCAAAATACACTCCAAAGCAAATTCCTTGTAAACCTACTTGACAATAAACTTGTTTCTGATTCTTCTGTTCTGAATCTTCTGTGCATAAGCCCAAACAAATCTTACAAAAAGGTGTGTGCCTTACTCTCCTTCATACTAAGAAACAGCCTGAAAAAACCACCAGCAAGAATCCCAATTACAGCAAATAGACACCAATTTAGACTCTCTTTGCGACAGGAAGGCCTCTGGCTAATGCAATACCCGGTATTATCCTACAAACACCGATGGCGCACAACAAAAGCATTTAAACTCCTCAAGCAGGTTTAAGCCTTTGATCTCTGCCCTACACTGATCCCCTGTTGTTTAACACTGAATCGTTTATCACCGCTTGCAGGATACAGCTAATTTAATAGAGATGCTACAGGCTTTAGGCAGAACCAAGATAGTTTCCCTACGTTTGTTCTCTGCAAGGAATTACATTTGTGTACATGTGAATGGAAAGAGATAAAGGGAGTCAGAAAGGTGAACTTCTTGAGTCTTTGTAGAAATAGTACTTACTAGGTGGCTTTGGCGCTGCCCTGGACGCTAACAGTCATGAGTGGGATCCAGGTGCCGCGGTATTCAAACGCAGCCTGCGTGGTCTGGTTGCTGTTGATCCCTCCTGGCCCCAGACCCCCCTGTGATGAACCCTGGGCCCCCGAACCTGAGCCCCCTCGAGAGAAAGACAACATGGAATAAAGGAAAAGAGATAGAAAAATACGAGGACACTTGCTACCAAATATCTATGACATTCCCATGATAACTTGTACATCATGTGTATTGATTTAAATGTTACTTTCTGAAGTTATTTGTTTAAGAATTCATGTACAATGCCTCTTAATCTGACTTACAGGTTTATTTGAAACATCTACAGACCTTAATCGACACAAAGAAAAGTTGTGTATTGTCTTCTCTATGTCTCCAGGCTCAAGGAACCACATTTGTTGAATAAAATACTTTGCAACACACTGTACCACAATCTTCCAGAGCTCAAAATGAGGGTTTAGTTAGTCTTAAAAATCAGTGTACTGACCAGCAGGTGCGCTAAGAGCAGCGTTGTTGCCCAGGTTGGGGAGGATGAAGAGGGACTGGATGAAGGATCCTAGAGCGTTGACGATGTCTCTGAAAACCTTCGTGGAGTGCTGCTTCATGTCGTATGACTGGCAGAACGAACTGTAATGACACAGAACACAACATGAGTGATGGGATAAAGAAAATGGCCATTTGGGTGCCGATGTGCATTATTATACCGTCACCGACTCTGCTCTATTTTTTCAGACTTTGCTCAAATTTCGTGACTTAGCTTGCCATCAGGTTTGCGCTTTGTCAGCCCCAGCACGGCATAGTAGCTGTTAGCATGCTAACGCTACATGTTACATATTGGTAAGTTAAAGGGGACCTATCATGCAAAATGTACATTTGTACATCTTTTATACATGAATATGTGTCCCCGGTGTGTCAGGGAACTCACCAAGTGTCAGAAAACACAACCCTCTCTCTTTTCCTCCATACCCAAATCTATAAAAACGGGGCTGCAACAGATCTGATACAGATTTGAAAATTATCTGACGTCAGGAACGAGGAGCTCCGCCTATATGGGCAACTCTCCATCTATCAGGAGGAGACAGCCACGGCCATTGCCGTTCGAAAGCGCTGGAGAAGCTGTAGTACATATGCCAGGCCTGTAGGTGGCGCTGCAGTCTGCCACAAAAGCAGCGCAGAAGACTTCTCAGATTCAGCCCTTGCAAAAACAGGGCTAAAAAAGAGCAAATAGAGCGAAATGAGGCATGGCTAAAATGCATGATCTGTTTGGTATTTTGAAAAAAAAACTTCGCAGACATGTTTTATATTAGGTATGGCCCTACAATATATTATTAAAATATAGCATGATAGGTCCACTTTAAAGTAAATTGTGCACATTGTACAATTCATATATGGATGTAACAGTGTATATATTACAATATATGCAGTGGTGTTTAAGTAATAATACTAAGATGTTAACACAGGTGGCACGAGTCACTGACATTTATTCCAAGAATCATGCTGATGGAAAATCGATTTTTCGATGTATTTAATATTTTGTTGAAAGCAAAGGTATTACAAGAAGAGGATGCATACATAATGATGTATTATGTTATTTGGATGGTAGTGGAGAGTGTGTTCCACAGTGGGGTTTGTTTTGTCCGTGCTCTATAGTTGTATCAGGGGGTAGGTGAATCAGCAATTATAGAAACATTGAGCTATTATGAGCAGATACATCACTGCAGTTATCTACCAAGTAAACTAAAGGAGATGTAACCCATTCTCAAGCAGTCTGAGATACAAAGTAACTCCAGTCGTTTTTCACACCATGCAGCTGTGGAATATGAGTTCAAGAAACACTTCAAAGTTATGAAACTCATGAATTAAAATGTGCTGTTGTTTTAGTAGAGCTTTAGTACAGCTTACCGTAGTAGATGTGGCTGAACACAGAGCCTATGGACTGACTCTACAGCCACCGCCCTCAGCCACTGTGGCTTCTCCCCATCCAGAAACTTCACCAGCAGAGACAAGAAGATCTCACACTCTGTCACCTATATAAAACACACACACACACACACCATCAGATTGGGACAGATGTTTGGCCAGCTTTGTCCTGTAACTGGAATCTGGCTAAATCCCATAATCCCTTTAGGCTTTGATGAAGCTATTTTGTAGCTCTCCTGACAGACGGGGAAAAACTCATTTCCATTTCAAATGATATAATATCACTAATTAAAAACAGCTGCATTGGTTAATTGCTCGGATGGAGCTAAGCTCATTAAAGTGCCTAAAGCAGAGTTAAAACAAAACTAATACTACGCTAATCCAATGCTAATCAGACCAGATCAATTAGCAGTTCTCTAAAGCATCCGTCAGACAGCAGTTCTGGCCGGTGGACCATCACTGCAGACCCCTCCCTTACCAGTAAGCTGTAGAAGTGCTTGATGAGGACCGAGACCACGCGCAGCAGCCTCATGCAGATGGGGAAATAAGGTTTCTCCACAGGAGCCGGTGAGGCGGAGCTGCTGCCCTGCCGGAACTTGATGTTGGGGGAGAAGAGCTTGATGACGAGGGGACACACTCGCTCCTTCAGGAGGAAGCTGAACTCCTGGTGCTGGGGAGGAAACGGAGAGAGAAAGAGAAGGATATTACCACACACTACTACCTAAAACATAAGGCATGTTGGGATCAGGTGAAGCGTAGAAACATTAAGGATCACTACTGTTAAGGAGAGTTGGCTTCACTACATTAAGATGCATCTTTGATGTTAAGATACAATAATAAACACAGGTGGAAAAACTAAACAGGAATCCAGTGATGTTAATAGAAATGTATCTGTGACGCATCGAAATCCAAAAGGACAATGACACTAAATGACGTTGCAGCAACATACTTGTTCAATTGTATTGTATCACCAGACCATCAAAAGACAGTGCTTCACTACTTTACTGATGCTTGTGATAAAATATCTTACTCAATACATTTTGGTTGATATCACATTTGATTTGTGAAAAGTTCAAACAAATTATTTGGAGATACATTTTTCAGATCAATCAATCAATCAATTAATCAATGTTTATTTATATAGCCCAATATCACAAATGTTACATTTGTCTCAGTGGACTTTACAGTTTGTACAAAATATCAGTATGACAATACGACACCCTCTGTCCTTAGACCCTCACATCGTACAAGGAAACACTTCCGAAGAAAACCCACAGTTTAAAGGGAACATGGGAGAAACCTCAGGGAGAGCAACAGAGGAGGGATCCCTCTCCCAGGACGGACAGACGTGCAATAGATGCCGTGTGTAAATTGAAAGATAATACATTTGCAACATAGGTAGTCCAAATGTTTGGAAATGCATGTGTGTATAATAGGAAGATGAATCCACGAGGATATCCATCCAGGACCTATGATCCAGGACCACAGCCACGACTCAGATCATAAGAATATCCGCCAAATTACAACCAGAAAACATCAAACACAAGATTAACACCACAATTTGCATAAAAGAAAACTATGTTAGGGATGGGATCAAATCAATTTATCTGGGACCCTACATATAAAACGTATCAACATAACTTCAATTATAAATATGAACCTAAATCACAATGTACCTGTAGGAATACCCCGGGGAAATCATTAAGAACAGACTCCAGCAGCTCCAGGCCGAAGGTCCGGGTCATCTCTGTCATCCCCACCAGCCAGTAGGGGGCATCGGCATTCACCAGCTGACACAAGTCCTGCAGGGAGAACAGCAGGGTTAAACAATGGAGTTTTATTATATGCTACACACATCACAGAGGATGAAACAGTGCTGTCACTGAGCTCTGCTGAAAGGATGATCACACACAAGTGCATCGTGGGTGAGGACGACAAGGGACCTTTGAATCCCTTTTAAATGCAAGATTCCCTTCATTGCAAAGATGAAAGGAATTAACAATTTGTATATTTCTTTAAAACTTAACGTCAAAAGCTTCAATGAATTATTTAGAGTTTTGAGAACGACTTTGATTTATGGTCTCGTCCACACTAGCTAAGATCATAAGCATGTTTCTAAACCAACTTGGTAGAAAGGTTTCCTCCCTTGAAGAGCACACAGAGCTGTGTAGAAGGGTGGCGCCCCCTGGTGGACGTACCTGGAACAGCATGTATGCATCCTTAGCACTAGGCCTCAGCGTGCTCACAGAGCGCCGGTTGGTGTTTCCCTGGACAGGAGGAGGATGCTCTACAATCCCTGTGGAGGAGTGACAAGTTATATATTAGTTGTTAAGCTTCTTTTGGCAGAAAAACTGTCAAATTAAAGAATCAGCAAGAAAAGTGTGAGCTCACAAAAATAATGTCTTGCCAAATTTGAGAACACGTGAAAAGAAAATCTCATATCATCTTGAACCTTCTGGGCTTTTCTTCAGTTTGATGTTCATGTCTTATTTTCTAGTTGTTTTTCTTTAACTATTGCTTTTGCTTGTTTGTGAAGTTTTGTGATAACAGTTAATCTTTGTCGTATATGTACTTGTATGGTTTGTTTGATGAAGTTTTTTTATGTTAACATACAGTAGGGTTTAATTCCTTTAATTTGTGTTTCTATTGTTCGCATTTTTGTAATCTTATCATTACAACAATAAGAAAATTACAATAAACTAAGACTGGATGTTACAATGAATCAATCACTGATTAATAAGCTTTGACCTTCCATCAATCATATACATAACCTGGATACCAATCGGGCGCTCCCTACGTAGACACCTCCACATGAGAGCACATTGTCTTCTCTGTCAAAATGGTGCATCCCATCAACATTTCTACTTCCTTCCCACTATGTGAACTCTTAATGTTCCAACAGTCGGAAGCAGTGCCCTCTCACCTTGGTAGCGCTCGTCCTCAGCCACCATCCTCTCAAAGACCACGGTGACCACCTGCCTGACGGTGGCGGCCGCCGTGTTGTTGGTGATGTTGTCCTTGGTGAAGTGAAGACGGAAACACAGCACAATGGCCTGGAGAGGGACAAAACATACACACATTATGCAGCATGTGAATACAAATACATGGTATGAAGTAAATAGAATTACTGCTACAGGTGTGGTCCATCAACAGAATATATTTAAGCCAGTACAGGTTACAAAGATTGATCTGGTTTCTTTATACAGTAGGTGAGACTTAAGAGTTGGAAATATGTTGGTATGCTGTGAAATTGAACAAAAGTAGTGTTAAAATATAATTTGGCGATGTTCTACGATGATGCTGCCAGATCTGGTGCAAGGACACCATCACTATATGTATTTATAGGTATGATAAAACATTACAGCTACAGTTCAATAATAGATGGAAGATGACTCACTACACTTGGCTATAAGGATAAAGTCCACACTACAAGGAAGTAGGATGTATGTATATACTAAAAGCTGGTGCAATAAAGGAGTGTGTTGTTGTACCTTAGAAAGTACTTCATCGTGTACCACTGTGTTGGTGGTGAGCAGCACCAGGACCGTCTGCAGGAGTTTCAGCTCCTCCAGACCGTTCTCCATCAGCTGCCACAACATGTTGATGATGTTCCCCGCAGCGGCCTGTCACACACACACACACACAGTCAACTGTTAACATTCATCTCAATCTCAGCATATCATTGATCGTCCACCAGTATGCACACACAAGTATTAGCAGCTCAATTTACAAGTATGAGAGTTGCTACATTGTGACAGAAAAGGTCAAAAGATGGCCTGAGGACACACCACACACACACACACACACACACACACACACACACACACACACAGGCACACACACACCACACACACACACACACACCACACACACACACACACACACACACACACACACACACACACACCAACACACCACACCACACACAACCACACACACACACACACACACCACACCACACACACACACACACCACACCACACACACACCCACCACACAGGCGCAGCTGGTACTGCCTGCTTGAGGGTCATAAACATCATGGAGTTAAAAACCCAAATGAAGCTGCCAGTCGATGTCGTGTCACTTGAGGCTCACAACCAAGTGACACTGCATGTCCTTTCGTGGGTCACGCTGTCCAAAATACAACTATTGTTCATGCAAACCCTCTGAGCGAGAGCCACAGGGGGGACTCAAACATTTCAAAAAATGAAAAGAAAAAACAAGAACATCTCATTAAGATTTCTTAATGCTTCACTGATTCACTATTATTTAGTAGGTTGTTAAATTAATCATATGGTCTATAACATATTACAAAAGTGCTTATGTTTCACCAGAAGTCACACATATAGCTTGACAGAAAATCAGAACATCTTCGTAAATTTGAGAGGCTGCTAAATGTTTAGCTTGATTAACTGACCTAAAACATTTATCAATATGTTGTCTTCTTATATGCTGTATTATACTCCGCTATAAATCCAAAGCCAAATTCAAGATACTGCAGGAAGTAAAAGGACGTTCTCTGTGGTCAAGAGTTTTTGATACGTTGTAAATCCCAATCATTCCTGTTGTGATTTCAGTCCAGTGATTTAGTTTGGGATTGGCCTCATTGTTGACTATTATTTAATGTCAGTATAATTATCCAACACACAACAACAACGACCTTGTTTACGGACACATTTTTCTAAGTAGAATTGTGGTTTACGAGCCTACAATTAATCATCAGCAGTCTTTTCATTGCAGAGTTGATAGCCAGATTTGGGAATGGTGACAGTCTTGCTCCTGGGTGTTTCAACACCAGAGCCCTACAAAGGCAATCAGGCGATTCAGTGTGTGCACTTTGCTTTGACTAATGTCAGGAAACATTTGAACGGATCCCTCTCCTCCCAGAGGAAACTAAATGACACTGACTATCAGCACTTTCTCTCTGCATGACACAGTGTCTGACTCCTTAAGAATCAATACTGAGGAGGTACACTTTAGTCTTGTGAGGCCCTCGGGTGGCTTTGAAAGCTGCAGTTCAGAGCTGCTGATGAGTGCTTCTGGCAGGGGAACACTAGAGGAGTTACATTGTTCAAATGGATCAGAAAATGTGTGTGTGTGAGGAATATGTGATGTGTGTGTCCTTAGGTGTTTGCAACATCGTGATACTAGCCAATTGTAGAGGGACTCAGGCAGAGGGTTGTACAAAAAGGTCATAAACAAAATGCTATCTTTGAGGCCTTGGTGAACTTGTGAAATTTGAGACTACACATCTAAGAACATCTGCCTCACACACTCCTGTTGGGATGCCCTTGAACATCTTCAAATATGCAGCTAGCAATTTGAAGATGTTGCAGTAGGATCTGAGACTTCGGCTTTTTTCCAAAAACAATTCTGATATGTTATAGTTTGTTGTTTAATCGTAGATCAAAATAAATGGGTAAAGACTTGACCAAAGCCACACCAAATACCCTTTAATATCACATTTATTTTATGAGAGCAGCATAGAGAACCTAGAGTCTCCTACCAAAAGTAGAAGCTTTGAAAACCTACATTACCTAATTAAATAAACGACTCGTAGCTAAGTTTAGAAAGCACGAGATGGCTCCATAAGCTTTTTCTAACAGTTGTTTTTACGCTGTATTAACAGAGCAGTTGTGCATCAATTCCAGGGAGCCGTCTTTGAAGCCGCTTTGATATTAAATCAGACTTAAGCTGATTTATTCAAGAAGTTTCAAAACCTCTTTAACCATCAAATAAGCTTATATTTAAATGCATGTCAGTCATCCATTTCCTGAGAGACACCTCATCATTCAGAGCTGCATGCAAATGCATTGAACACATAAATAATGTGAAGGTACAGCAGCAGCAGCAGAATAATATATTTTTAAGGCTGATGGTTTTCTTTAATACAGAGTTTGTACAAAGAAGAAAGAAACTGCAGGACATAAAGAGTAGTAGAACAGGAAGGGCAACTTTCAGCGACAATCATATATTTAGATTTTAGATAGAACTATTCGGTATCAATGAGCTGCATTGATCCGAATGAATTACCCTTAGAATATTAGAAAGGATGTTCCCAAGGTGGTCGGTGAACTTACATTTTCAAATTTGGAAAATGAAGGTCTTTATCAATATATATATATTATATAAAGTCAGTCAATATGCATTTATTTGACGGTTGAAGAATAAGTGAGAATAAACATTAATCCTGTATTAATTGTGAGAATCCTCAATATCTGAATAAAGCTTAAAGGTGGGTAGGTAATTCACCTCACCTTATATTCCATGGAATGCTCTTAACATCCCGATAGCAATGAATATATGATAAAACATGTCATCTGTGGAAGCTGTGCACAAACCTATCTCGTGCCCTCATTGGTCATGTGCACGTTTGTGTGTGTTGGAGGAGGGGCTCTGTGAGGAAGTCTGAAGGAAGAGGCATATTTCTTTCAAATTCTAGCGCACTCGAGCTGGTTTCTCCATTCTTACCTACCCTACTACCTTTAAAACCCTCGATTCATTGTGGAAAAACAAAGCGTTTAAAAATGATAAAGGGAACTTCAAATATGTCCTTTTTGCTCATATTATTTAGACGTTTTGTTTTCTTAAGGAGGAAAACAAGGTCATGAGTATGATTGGTCGGCACTCTAGTGGGGTGGTAATCCACCTCGTGTCCTTCTCTGAAGTAGAGTGACAAAAGCTGATGAATCCAGATGAGAGCAACGGGTTTCTTATTGATTGTACTTTTTAAAACCACCTTAATAATCAGGAAGACAGAGGAAATTAAGAGATGTTGTGGAAAATGTGGCACAGCTTAATATCAACGAGGTGTTTTTATGATTAGATTCTGGGTGTAGCCTTTAATTTAGAGCCTAGACAAAGAATCATAAACCTTAATTGATCAGATAAAGGGCGAAAAAAACTATGTAACACAAGATAATGGTATTCTCATTACAGCTATACTTTATTTCACTGGACTTTAACAATACCATGGATGTAGAAACATTTTCTAAATTGCTATTTACACTTCCTTATTTAGTCCATTAGTTTAATGTATTCCGCAAATTGCCTGTCTTACATCTTCTCTATGTTGCGTGTGTGTGGTGCACATGTGTGAACTCTGAACGTAGTCCCAGTGCACTGTGTGTGTAAGCCAGCTGAGTTTTAAAAACCCCCGGCTGGCTCAAGTGCTCACCTCAGATACCACCTCGTGGGACATGAGTCTCTGGATGGCAGCCAGACACAGCTGGGTGATCTTGGGCTCTTTGGTGCCGCAGCCCATCAGGAATGGGCTGCACCACCTCGGAGCTGTTCTCCTTCAGAGCTGCAGGAGAAGGACGCAGATAAAAAGGGAAATGTCAGGGTCAATTCTCCTCAGGGGGAAATGAAGAGTTATTCAGTTACATCAATGATTTACAATGCTTTGATTGAATATCAAATACAAACCTTCCAGCATCAATCGTTGCATGTTGTTTCAGACAAATGAAAGCTTGTTAAAATAATCTGAAATCCTTGATCTATTATATTTGACATAAGTATAAAATACTGTTACTGCATTGGAAGGGATGGTGAAAACTACACAATAAGACAAAAAGAGAGACTGTGCAACTTAATAATACCTTTAATATATTTAAAAACTGTTAATGCAATTTGTTTTAACCATCAGTCTATGGAATTTTAAATATTTTGTAAACAACAAACGTGTTTAAAATGAAATTAAAGTGTGACCCTTGACAGTGAATCAGTACTTTGCATAACCTGTATCATTGTCCCCTATGTTAGTTCCCCTCCATGAATAACAGGTTTCACCGCTCAGTCTTCTTGCCACACATCCTTAGGCTTTTCAAACTCATCCATTCAGGAAACAGATATATACGAGCCCTCTTGTGCAGTTTACAGTTTGCAGCGAGGCAGTCGGAGTCAGACAGTCACAGTGGAACCTCGAAAAATGCCGACTATGTGTCAACTCTGCAAATGTTAATAAAAGCCGGACGCTGTTGATCAAGACAGCGTAGACACCATTTTCTATTCAAGTATTCACCCAGCCACATCAAAGTACTCTGTAGTTCATTCAGAAGATTTAGCATACATTTTTATTTACAGCAATTTACTGACAAAGCTTTTTATATTAATATGCAGGTCTCCTTCATCTTGCAGTTCATTGGGTGAGAAACAAATACGGGTACCACTTTACAATAAGACTACCATTATAAAGGGTTTACGAATAGTTTGTAATTCATTTATTAATTAGGTTGTGAACACTTTATAAATCATTAATAAGCTTTTATAAGACATGAGATAAACAGGGCGACTGTGACCGGTTGCTTGCCAAATAGGGAGCCCACATTTATCTGAACTGCTCAGCCTTATTAGAAATGGTAGTAACTCATTAACAAATGGGAATGTGTTTCACACTTTACAATAAGGCTCCCTTTTGGCAACTATAAATGTTACTAACTCGTAAATAAATGGTCATAAAGAGATGCCAAGAAACATCAAGATGGATGGGGGGGGAATCAACTCAGTGAACAACAGATACCAAGGATGTTCGCTGATGAAGAAGACGAAGTAAGCTAAGTAGCCAATATAAGGCTTAGTCATCTTGCCAAATAGTGAGCCTGTGTTGATGTATGAAAACTGTTAGAACTGGTTAATAAATGGTTCTTAATGATTAATAAAGTGTTTACAACCTAATTATAAACCCTTTATAAGGGTAGTCTTATTGTAAAGTGGTACCCAAATATGACTTATTTTTGGAGGAATTAGATATCATGTGCCTACAGTACACAACTCATGATTGCCACAAGCTGACTTCATAAATAAAACAAAAACAAATCATAATATAATGGATAATTCCCTTCTCTATGTCCCTGATGTGTCATGTGAAAATGAAAACATGTACTCACTTGTGTTTCTTCATTATATGGGACGGTGCCCATTAGTAAAGATTTACACTTTGATACATGTGATGTAAATAAATCAGTTAAGGGAATCAATAATAATCTCATTAACAAGATCTAATCTAATTTAAAGAGGACATATTATTCTCATGTTCAGGTTTATATTTGTGTTGGTGGATCAGAAAACTCCCTCTGAAGGAAACTTTGGTATTTAGCATTTGCCGACATTTAAATGCACACAAACCTACATAACTCATAAAGGGAAGGGTGAACCCCCAAAAGATGAGAGGGCCTCTTTGAATAAGTCAACAAGAAGCAATATTTTATGTAAGTTTTCATCAATATATTTTATATTTCATGTTGTTGCATCGACTCAGTTGTCTTGTGTCTTATCTGTCAGAGAGAAACCATTAGTTATTTTATTGTTATACATTTGACCTCCTTGTGTCTATGAACCTGATACAATGTTATATTTTGCTGCATGTCCTGTAAAGTTCTTAACAAATAATCTTGAGGGGAATTTCTTGTTGTGCATTTTTAAACTTGTGATGTGTCATTTTGTGTTGTATGAAAAAGTGCTGTATAAATAAAGCTTTATTATTTAAAAGTGTAATGACAAAGCGGCATGTTCATATCTCACTGTGGTTAACCACCACTCTTGTCACTTCCTCACCTCCCAGTATTTCTGTACTCCTGGCTGCGATGGTCTTAATCTTCACGATGCCAGACTCTGCAGCCTAAGGGGGGGGGGGGAAGAGAGAGTAGACATTTATGTTAACATTCAATGTAACGCGTATCAAAGCTGCTGATGGTGCAGCACCAGTGGTGGTGGAAACTACATCCTGTAATGGATGGCCACAGGGGAGAAGCAGGAAGGCCTCGCTGCAGTTCGACAGAATGAGAGCTCGTGAATGTGGTCAAAAACAGGCTTCCACTTGATGTGCTAGGAGAGAGTGATTTCCCTGGTGAGGTGTCTGGCA